GGTGTTGGTGGTGGCCGTGAGCGGGAATCGAACTCGGGTCAGAGCCGGGTTCGAAGGGCAGCGCTGACCGCTACTACACCACCGCTCCCCCGTCACCCCGATCACCACGAACACCATCATCATCATATCTGGACGGGTGACCGGCGTGGGGAAGTATGGTCAAACGACAAACCTGACCCCCGCCACGGCCGCCCACACGGGGTCAGGAAACATTCATCCAGCAGTTGGATTGAAAATGTGTAGCGTTCTACTATTTAAAATGTGTTGTGTCAGCGGTGCTAAGATTATAAACGTTATCATCTGCGTGATGTGCGTGAGGATATTTGTAGGAAATTAAACTATTCAAATCTAACAGGTTTTATCTTTTTACTTTGCAAATAAAGATCACGAATCACTAGAGATGGTGAATCTCAATGGGTTATTACATGGTTAATAAAGGACGTCACTCACTAGCGATGGTGAATCTCATTGGGTTATTACATGGTTAATAAAGGACGTCACTCACTAGAGATGGTGAATCTCAATGGGTTATTACATGGTTAATAAAGGACGTCATTCACTAGAGATGGTGAATCTCAATGGGTTATTACATGGTTAATAAAGGACGTCACTCACTAGCGATGGTGAATCTCAATGGGTTCTCACATGGTTAATAAAGGACGTCACTCACTAGAGATAGTGAATCTCAATGGGCTATTACATGGTTAATAAAGGACGTCAGTTACTAGAGATAGTGAATCTAAATGGGTTATTACATGGTTAATAAAGGACGTCACTCACTAGAGATGGTGAATCTCAATGGGTTATTACATGGTTAATAAAGGACGTCACTCACTAGAGATGGTGAATCTCAATGGGTTATTACATGGTTAATAAAGAACGTCACTCACTAGAGATGGTGAATCTCAATGGGTTATTACATGGTTAATAAAGGATGTCACTCACTAGAGATGGTGAATCTCAATGGGTTATTACATGGTTAATAAAGGACGTCACTCACTAGAGATGATGAATCTCAATGGGTTATTACATGGTTAATAAAGGACGTCAGTCATTAGAGATGGTGAATCTCAATGGGTTATTACATGGTTAATAAAGGACGTCACTCACTAGAGATGATGAATCTCAATGGGTTATTACATGGTTAATAAAAGACCTCACTCACTAGAGATGGTGAATCTCAATGGGTTATTACATGGTTAATAAAGGACGTCAGTCACTAGAGATGGTGAATCTCAATGGGTTATTACATGGTTAATAAAGGACGTCACTCACTAGAGATGGTGAATCTCAATGGGTTATTACATGGTTAATAAAGGACGTCACTCACTAGAGATGGTGAATCTCAATGGGTTATTACATGGTTAATAAAGGACGTCACTCACTAGAGATGGTGAATCTCAATGGGTTATTACATGGTTCAATAAGGGACGTCACTCACTAGAGATGGTGAATCTCAATGGGTTATTACATGGTTAATAAAGGACGTCACTCACTAGAGATGGTGAATCTCAATGGGTTATTACATGGTTCAATAAGGGACGTCAGTCACTAGAGATGGTGAATCTCAATGGGTTATTACATGGTTAATAAAGGACGTCACTCACTAGAGATGGTGAATCTCAATGGGTTATTACATGGTTAATAAAGGACGTCATTCACTAGAGATGGTGAATCTCAATGGGTTATTACATGGTTAATAAAGGACGTCACTCACTAGAGATGGTGAATCTCAATGCGTTATTACATATTTAATAAAGGACGTCAGTCACTAGAGATGGTGAATCTCAATGGGTTATTACATGGTTAATAAAGGACTCTCCCCTACCATGGTTAAATAAAGGACTCGCCTCTCACATGGTTAAATATAGGACTCTCCCCTACCATGGTTAAATAAAGGACGCGCCTCTCGCATGGTTAAATAAAGGACTCGCCTCTCGCATGGTTAAATAAAGGACTCTCCCCAACCATGGTTAAATAAAGGACGCGCCTCTCGCATGGTTAAATAAAGGACTCTCCCCAACCATGGTTAAATAAAGGACGCGCCTCTCGCATGGTTAAATAAAGGACTCTCCCCTACCATGGTAAAATAAAGGACTCGCCTCTCACATGGTTAAATAAAGGACTCGCCTCTCGCATGGTTAAATAAAGGACTCTCCCCTACGATGGTTAAATAAAGGACTCTCCCCTACCATGGTTAAATAAAGGACTCTCCCCTACCATGGTTAAATAAAGGACTCTTCCCTACCATGGTTAAATAAAGGACTCTCCCCTACCATGGTTAAATAAAGGACGCGCCTCTCGCAATGGTTAAATAAAGGACGCGCCTCTGGCATGGTTAAATAAAGGACTCGCCTCTCGCAATGGTTAAATAATAGGACGCGCCTCTCGCATGGTTAAATAAAGGACTCGCCTCTCGCATGGTTAAATAAAGGACTCGCCTCTCGCATGGTTAAATAAAGGACTATCCCCTACCATGGTTAAATAAAGGACTCGCCTCTCGCATGGTTAAATAAAGGACGCGCCTCTCGCATGGTTATATAAAGGACTCGCCTCTCGCAATGGTTAAATAAAGGACACGCCCCTCGCATGGTTAAATAAAGGACTCACCCCTACCATGGTTAAATAAAGGACTCGCCCTACCATAGTTAAATAAAGGACGCGCCCCTCGCATGGTTCAATAAAGGACTCGCCTCTCACATGGTTAAATAAAGGGCTCGCCCTCGCATGGTTAAATAAAGGACTCGACTCTCACATGGTTAAATAAATGACTCGCCTCTCGCATGGTTAAATAAAGGACTCTCCCTTACGATGGTTAAGTAAAGGACGCGCCTCTCGCATGGTTAAATAAAGGACGCGCCTCTCGCAATGGTTAAATAAAGGACTCGCCTCTCGCATGGTTAAATAAAGGACTCGCCCCTAGCATGGTTAAATAAAGGACGCGCCTCTCGCATAGTTAAATAAAGGACTCGCCTCTCACATGGTTAAATAAAGGACTCGCCTCTCACATGGTTAAATAAAGGACTCGCCTCTCACATGGTTAAATAAAGGACTTGCCTCTCGCATGGTTAAATAAATGACTCGCCCCTACCATGGTTAAATAAAGGACTCTCCCCTACCATGGTTAAATAAAGGACGCGCCTCTCGCATGGTTAAATAAAGGACTCGCCCTTACGATGGTTAAGTAAAGGACGCGCCTCTCGCATGGTTAAATAAAGGACTCTCCCCTACCATGGTTAAATAAAGGACTCGCCCCTACCATGGTTAAATAAAGGACGCGCCTCTCGCAATGGTTAAATAAAGGACTCGCCCCTCGCATGGTTAAATAAAGGACTCGCCCCTACCATGGTTAAATAAAGGACGCGCCTCTCGCATAGTTAAATAAAGGACTCGCCTCTCACATGGTTAAATAAAGGACTCGCCTCTCACATGGTTAAATAAAGGACCCGCCCCTCGCATGGTTAAATAAAGGACTCGCCCCTACCATGGTTAAATAAAGGACGCGCCTCTACCGTGGTTAAATAAAGGACGCGCCTCTCGCATGGTTAAAAAAGGACTCTCCCCTACCATGGTTAAATAAAGGACGCGCCTCTCGCATGGTTAAATAAAGGACTCGCCTCTCACATGGTTAAATAAAGGACTCGCCCCTACCATGGTTAAATAAAGGACGCGCCTCTACCGTGGTTAAATAAAGGACGCGCCTCTCGCATGGTTAAAAAAGGACTCTCCCCTACCATGGTTAAATAAAGGACGCGCCTCTCGCATGGTTAAATAAAGGACTCGCCTCTCACATGGTTAAATAAAGGACTCGCCTCTCGCATGGTTAAATAAAGGACCCGCCCCTCGCATGGTTAAATAAAGGACTCGCCCCTACCATGGTTAAATAAAGGACGCGCCTCTACCGTGGTTAAATAAAGGACGCGCCTCTCGCATGGTTAAAAAAGGACTCGCCTTTCGCATGGTTAAATAAAGGAGTCACCTCTCGCAATGGTTTAAATAAAGGACTCGCCCCTCGCATGGTTAAATAAAGGACTCGCCCCTCGCATGGTTAAATAAAGGACTCGCCCCTCGCATGGTTAAATAAAGGACTTGCCACTCGCATGGTTAAATAAAGGACTCGCCCCTACCATGGTTAAATAAAGGACTCTCCCCTACCATGGTTAAATAAAGGACGCGCCTCTCGCATGGTTAAATAAAGGACTCGCATCTCACATGGTTAAATAAAGGACTCGCCTCTCGCATGGTTAAATAAAGGACCCGCTCTCGCATGGTTAAATAAAGGACTCGCCCCTGCCATGGTTAAATAAAGGACGCGCCTCTACCGTGGTTAAATAAAGGACGCGCCTCTCGCATGGTTAAATAAAGGACGTGGACTCACGAAGACAATGATTCTCAATGGGCCTTCTACGAGCATTGACACCCATGGGAACCGGTTCCGCCCCACCCAAGCGTGAGTTTGCATTGGAACCGGTTCCATGTTTATTTATTCATTTACGTTACAATGGAACCGGTTCCGCTGCCCCCCCCGACCCCCACCTCCTCAGCGCAAAGCGGACACCGGCTGGAATCGATTCCGGAAACTCATCTTTAAATCGATTCTATCATCGTACATTCCGCACGAATCCCTAACGGAATCTATTTTATAATCGTAGAGTTCAGTACGAATCGATTCTGCCGCTGCGTCACCGTATCGCCATTCGGGGCGCGTGAGCCAAAATCACGTGACGCGGCGGTAGTGCCCCGGATGTACAGCGGGCTATACCATTGTCGATTACTGCAATTGAGAAGGGGGGGGACTTCAACGCTTTTAACCTTATTTTTTGTAAACTTACTGACTAGTAAATGTTGTAAGAAATAACCTATAGAATTCATTAATATTTGAATACATAGTAACGGTGTGGTATAGTGATTTTGTTGTTTGGTCAGGAATTGTGTATTTTAAAAAAAATTGCCAACGAATTGAGATGGTATCGCCCGGGCGTGCCCTATTTAAGGGGAAGGCGCCTTCACTTTCATTGTCCTCGCTGCGGTTGGGAGAGGTGATCTGAGCCGACTGGCCTGCTGTGCAACAACATCAGTGAATTTGACAAGAGCCAATTCTTTTTTTTACGTATAAATTAAGTTAAACAAATTAAGAGAAAATGCGTGAAATCGTTCACTTGCAGGCGGGCCAGTGTGGCAACCAGATCGGCTCCAAGGTAAATGCACGCGCATTCGTTCGGGGGAAACATGGCGCTTAAATTGCGTTAAATGTTACGATTATAATGTGTTTTTTATTGCTCAAGGAGGGTGCTAGATGTAGGTGATAATGCATTGTTGATGTATTTACCCCATTGCAAATCGGCGTTGCAGCGCGCGCGGGCGCGCTACTTTTTATGTGCGCATTAACACCGCGCGGCGGATTGTCTGTCGCATGTACATTAACGTTGCTGTATTTGCAAAAAAAATTGTACGGTAAAACGCAAATTGTCTTAATTGCACGCTAGAAAGTATAACCGTGAATTGACTACGTTAATCCAAATGCATTTTGATTTAAAAAAAAAATATTTTATACAATTGCTTCTCTGAACCCGTTGAAAAACCGCGCCAAAAGTCCGCCATGTTAATATCCGACAGTGGAGGGGGGGGGCGAGTTAAAAAAACACATTTACCTCATGCGATAAGATTTTTTTGTACCACGATTAGAACAATGCCTCGGTAACGAACGCACGGTCTGCGTCAACAACACGCGCGGTGTATTAGACGTGTTTTTTAAGCCGCACCCCCCCCCCCGAAAATAAATAAAATATAACGGGCGAAGGGGTTCCCTCATCAAATGGCGCTGGCGGGAAAATGGCTGCAGCTCATCCCCCACCCCCCCATTGTCTAGCGCGGGTTGGCGACACCGCCACCTCAAAGTCCTTTTAAAATGTTTCAGATGAATGAAGCGAACGAATCTCGACCTTATGATCGTACCCCTCCTCCCGACATTTTTACACCGTTAACCTCACCGTGGAGGCGAGCGGCTGCCGCATCTATTGAGGGATTTGTCCCTTGGTGTGCGAGGGGCGTGGTGGTTGACTGACACACGGCCATTACAAAAGACCGCTAATTGTTTAACATTTTTTTAATCTTTAATGCAGCGTTATAGGTGTTTCATTTTTCGGTGCCGATTCGACAAACTCGCGTCCGTCTTAATTCGATGGGGTTTTATTTTTTTTATCCCTGATTGGAAGACACAATTTTTTTATGTTCGTGGTACACGTGGGGTTTTTTGTGTCGGTATTGGAATGACAATGGGGTGAGTGGTCACCCCCCCCCCCCCCCTATTGTGTCAAAAAGCCACGCGGCTGCCCCGCCGTGCCGTAGTTGGTTTCAAATTGAGCATTAAAAGGCTGTGACCAATCCACTGCTGGATGATAGCTGCCACGACAATGCCGCCACCTCTAGCTCGCTCTCCACGGATGTCCTTTGGAACATGCCGTTCCTCGGCTTATTTTTCTGTGGCTGATATTTTTTGTTAAATTTAGTTTCTATATATACAATGCTAAACGGCAGCGCGTTAAGACGCCCTATCAATACAATCGTATATATTAAAAAAACAATTTTTTTACTATCTTTGGGCGTTACATCTTGTTGTGGTGGTGGATCTGTGGCGCAGTGTGGTTAGCGCACTGCGCCATGAACCCGGTCGACCCGAGCCGGAGTTCCGGCGGCGACCACGGTAACATTAGCGGCGAGTGATATTCTGGGGTGCAATCCCCACCGGTACATGCGTGGTGAAGTATAGTCGGACGGATCTCGTGAGCTATCCGATTCGGGCGAGGCCATCAATTAACCGGCAGTCTATTGGACACATCGCGCGTGAATTGTTACAAATTGCACGCGTTTAATTGTACCTTTTTTTTAATTACCAACGGGCCTAAATTGTAAACGTGTTTTTATAACGTTTGATTAAATTTTCGATCACCTTATTTAATCGTAAGCTTCTACGTGAGCAGCAGCGGCGGGCGCCCGAAACATTGCTTGCATAGTTAGCTGCCGCCTTTATCACGGGGGCAAAAGTCTCGCTTGAGTCCCACACGAAGGCCGGTTTGATTGCCGCAAAGTGGTACCAATTTTATGACGCAGTCTGTGTAATGGGCCGTGGGGGCAGGGAAGGGGTTTTTTTTTGTGATTGGGGAGGGGCGGCGGGGCCCAAACAGCTGCTCGAGCGTGACCGCATCCCCAGTGACATCATCGTCGTCGTCTTTTATTTGACAATGCACGAGAAACGGGAGGCTCCTGTCGCCGGCAGGCCACGCCCCACCACCAGCAGCCATCTATTCTGTTGTAACACGTAGGCTTTTGCGACGTCGCCCTGCTGCTGCTGCTCTATTTAAGACCGGGAGCAAGTGAGGGCTTTAACGTTCTGGCGAATTGCCCGATGATGCTGGATGTAATTACGTCGTACTCAAAATTTTAAATGATGTTGATTCACTCTTCAACACACCGGTGGGCTAAAGTAGTTGAGCTGTTTGTCCTTTGTAATCGTGACGCGTGTTTTACTGTTTTGGCCGTGTCGGGTGGTGGAGGGTTACGACACATTTATAAATAACGCGATCTAACCCAAAGACCTTTATTATGAGCCATCTCTTCTGTATGCAGACGTGCGGAACGGGGTTAGAGCCGCAGCCCTGCAAGCGCTGGGGGTCACTCCCTGCTGGCGGAAGGGGCCTCCCATAGGGCAGTGGACTCGCTACCCTCTCGCTGGGCTATGGGCGTCTTCTGGAGGGAGTGGGGTAGAGGTTGCCCACGCTTTAGCTCGCCACGCGCAGTGCTGAGCCGTGAATTGTGCGCTTGCCTCCAGCGCTCGGCGTGGTCGAGCAAGCTGCGACGGTGTGAAGGCCCTCGTTCAGCAGTGGAGAGACCAGGCCGGTGTGTGGTGCTCCGATGCCTCGGCAGCTTCCAGTCAATAGACCATGGATGATATTATTTTTATGATGGTGTTGCAGAGCCGACCAAGCGGCCAGCAACAAAACCTCTTGAGGGAGGGGGGGGATCTATAAAAGATTGAGTTATTAATACAGAACGTGTCTTGACTTGTGCAAGGATATTATAAGAACTTGGGGGAGTGGGAGAAGAGGCAAAACGACGGTGAATTCCAAAGTGGAGCTGAATGAGGAATGGAGGCAGATGGGGGGGGGGGGGGTGGTGACCTGCAGCATTTGTTCCATTTGTGAATTTGCAACACGGCTGATGGAACGCTGACAGTCTAGTGCAGTGGTTCCTCTTAACCCTGGGGTGTGAGATTCCCTCCCTGGCGGTGCGAGAAATGGGCAAAATCTATTTAGACGGTAAATCCTCCAAACAAATTAATCGGGGGCACGTTAAGTACAACTTTGTTTCCTCAGACCCTATGTCTTTATTAACGTACTTGGTAACAATCGAACCGAAAGGGCACAAGGCTGCAATAAAGGTTAACAACCACCAGGGCTTGTAGTAGGCAGTGTGGACGATTGTCAACCAACCTCCCCCCCCATCGGCGTTAATGATGGCGTCTGCTCCAGTCCCCGGCTGCTGGTGGTGGCGGTGTTGGCTCTGCGCTGACTCGCGGTAGAGTGGCAGCCCGTGCGTGACCGGACACGGTGCTCGGCGTTTACCCAACGCGGAGAACACGACCACACAAGCGCTCGCGACTCGCTCGTGTCGTGCTGTCGCCACGCCCGCGCGTGGTGCACCGCTTGAATTATTCACGCCCGTCTTTTTTTTTTTCCCCCCGTGAGGTGTCCAGGGGCATCTCTTGTTTTGGGCGGAGTGGTGCAATGGGTTTTTAGTTGGTGGTTACTGAAGCCTTCCCTGGTTTGTTGGTGCAGTGAGAGGGGATGGATTTCTTTTTTAGAAAGAGGTGTGGCGATGCATTCACGAAATTGATTGCTTTGTTCCACTCTTGACAGAAGGGCCATTCCACTGCCATGGGAATTGTGAACCCCGTGACCTCTGCAAGTCCCACGGTGACATTCGTAATGAATCGATTTTTAGTTCGAATAATATTGGGCAACATTTTAATCTGTTAGTAGCCCTTAGTCGGTGGTGGAAATTCGACATTTCCATCAATTGGAACATTACACGGGTTAATTACATCCACATTAGGAAGAAACGCGAGTTTGCTTGGGGCAGGGACATGTTACTGCTGGAAAATGGATGAGGGACAAAGAGTCTTCTGGATTGCAGGCAATAAATGGGACTGCGTCTTGAGTGGGACCGTGAGATCCGTTCTTATGCAGATGACTCGATGGATTGTTTTCATTGCTGGATTGTGGGAGGCTGCAGCACCATCCGGTCTGAAAGCCTTCATCTAGCAGTGGATTGATCGTGGCTCATTTGTCTGTGTAATGGTGGAACAACAACTCTGGATTTTACATTGAGGGTGGTGACCTAGCCAGATAATTTTCGGCAGGGGTGGTGGAGTTTTAACACTGCCTCCACCATTGCTTGTGCGAATTCGGCATGGGGTCATCTGAATGGTCTGTTCTTGGTGACCACAGTCGCACACTGACGGGCGCTTTCTTAGTCTTCCCCATTTTGTGTCTGCATCTGGCAAGGCTGGAGCTAATGAACGGCACCAGTCGTGTGTACAGTAGAGCGAGTTAGCGAGAGGGATGGATTCCTCCTCGTCTTTTTATAAATTCACGGGGGAGTAGGCTCGGCCCGTCTGCTTGCGCGGCACACGAGCAACGATTCCCGAGGTGGCGGGGGGGGGGTGTTGCGGTTTAATCTTTGCGTACTTTCCACACCCCCTCCTCCTTCCGTCCCCTCCCAACGGAGACTGGGCGCCAGCAGCCTTTGTGAAATGGGAGCAGCGTTGGAGCGGGCAGCCGTCTTTTCAATTCTACCCCCCCCTCTCCCAATCTTGAGTGGCACCACTGCTGTGGTTGCTAATTCACCCCCCAAACAACCATGACCCATGGAGGGTGGGCCCTGCCACCCACCAGCCCCCCATATGGTTGTTGGTGGGTACTGCACCCCCCAATTTCTTTGCATGGCCGGTAACTGATGGGGGGATAAAGGTAAAATGCAACTGGTTTCCCAGTTTTGCCACATACATAGAAATGTTCGGCTACGAATAATAAAATCCTTCGGTCTTTAACCGAGACGGGTTAGGTGGGGGGGGGGAGCTGACAGTGGCCAGTGTGGTGGTTAGCACGCCAGACTTTCTTTTCTCTTATCGGTCACCGGTTCCGTTTTGTCGGTTGAAGCAATGGGGAAAGTTTTTGTTTTATTTCCCCCACCAACTCCCACCATGTGCACTCAGCAGCAGGATTCAAATGTGTTGTGTTGGGGTGGAGTGCGAGTTCGCCCACCGTCTGACATGTCTCCATGTGGGGTGTGGAAGTGTAGACTGAATAATCTCCAGAGTGTTCCTTGCAGTGGTGTGAGGAGGCGATTGCAGGGCTGTACCTTTAACTGGAGAGGGCCACATGCACCACACACTGACTTGGGCTGTTGCCGTGCAGTCTGTTTGCCTGTGCCCACACGTGCATTTATTCCTGAAATTACGCGAATCGATAATCAATTGCCCACTTGTGGAATCTTTAATCGATTTGTGCCCTTTAGTTGATTGGACTTAAGACGTGGTGTAAAGAGTACAACTCTACGTAACCCTGTGTAGGTTGACAAAATAATTTTCGTCATTACGGAAAATGTTAGCAGCTTTGCTAAACTGAGTTCTATATATCAGTGCTTAAGCCAATAATTGGTGGCGATTTTATTACTCATTCCGTTTTGGCCACATCCTCTGCGGAAATGCGTACCTGTCTTGGATCGGCAGAGTCGGGTTTGCTTGAATCTATGCTTGTCAGCTGCCAGATGCTGCAGGAGTGTGTGGTTTTCGGTGTTGTGTAAGACGGCCCCTTAGGGGTGCTCTTTGGCAGCCTCTACTGTAAGATGAGGTGTGAATTTTGGGTGGTTTTAAGGGGGGCGGAAGAAATGGCGTTGTCTTGAGGCTTGGAGTCATGTGCTGGCGTGTGCCCGTTGCCAGCACATGCTATTGCTCTCGCAGATTAAAACCGGCTCGCCCTTATTCACTGGGCCGCTCCACCGCGTGAGCTGTGCCCGGTCACCTGCCTTGCTTACACGGCAAAGGCACAAGCAACCGTTCTCCTCGGTGCGTGGTGGTGGAGGGTGGGCAGGGGGGGGACCTTAACTCTGGACTGTGAAGAGTTGTGCAGGCGTTGTTTAATGAGAATATTTTAAAGTTGTGGTGTGAATTTGTGGCATGCCAATGTCAGAGCGTTCACCCCCCGTGCCCCTCCCTCAAATATTTGTTGGCTGCAGAATGCTGATTTCCCTGCCCCCTCTGTGTAATGCACACATCTATCCGCTGCTGTTCCACCCACCGTGTTATGCACGGTTCGCTTTGCTGGCAACACGCAGTGGCCAAACTCTACAAGTTTAACCAAGGGTGGCTGTGACTTGCTATGACGTGTTGGGTCAGGTTTTAAAATTTGCTCGTCTTGTCTCGCTTGCCTCTCACTCTCCATACCCCTCTCTCCACCACTGCTCCCTCCCTCCTTCCTCAAACACCCCCCCTTCTGACTGCAGTTCTGGGAGGTGATCAGCGATGAGCACGGAATTGACCCCACGGGCACCTACAGGGGCGACAGCGACCTGCAACTGGAGAGAATCAACGTCTACTACAATGAGGCGCAGGGTGAGGGGGGGCTCGGTGGCCGTGTCTCGCACGCTCACACTGGGGGGGGGGGGGGCATGGCTGCGGGCCATACTTCTGGGTGACTTCTGGACCCTCGTCAAAGATGGGGCCATACCTCCACCCAGTCCTGATTTCAAGCCCCCAGGTCTGAGTGTCAGGCAGGGGGTGTTCAAAATGCCAGTCTCAGTTGCTGAGCTACTACCACAGGATCCTAGCTGCAATCTCAGAATCTTGATCTCCTCTTGATGGCCGTGATGCAGACAAGGAAGGCAACACTGCCGAGATCCTGGGTCTGCTTGTCTTTTTTTGGAGGGGGTGTGGGGGGGGTTCATAATGGCTGTTTCGGGTGCTCGGCCAGCGATATTGACATCCTGATTTGACTTGTTCTCCGGATGTCTCACGGGATCATAGTGGGCCTGTCGGGCATGGACTTATTTTTGCCGAGGTCCTGGCTTTGTGAGCCTTTGACGCTGGAGTTTCTGGGTTCATATTAGCCACGTCAAACACCGGCGCCACGTCACATGAAGACCTCCGCTTGGTATCAATCGCAAGTCTCGTAATGGCCACGTCGGTACCAACCACACGGCCTCCGTTTGGATGATACGTGCCCCACCACAAACTGCAATGAAGGTGTTAAAACGAACACTGAACCCAATGTAAATTTGCAGTGGATCCCCCTGCCTCTTACAAAAGCTCCCTTGCTTTTGACCCACGTCGCCTGCTGAGCAGTGCGACTGGCACGCTAATAAAGCGAGCCCTTCCAATCTTAGGGGGTGCCGGTGAACAGCAGCGTCTTTGTGGTTGTGGGAGCTTGTGTGTAGAGTTTGCGTGCAAGGGATATAAATGAGCGTGCGTGGTTGCGAAGTCGACTTTGCCTTAAATGAGTACCTTGTGCAGTGTGTGTGTGTATAACATCAGCGCTGGGGAGACAAAGGCGGCCGAGGGTGCTGCTGGACACCCACCTCGTGTGCCGTGACTGCCTTCATATATAGATGCTTGCTCCAACAGCACTTGGCCACAACAGTCTTAAAGGCTATATGGGGGGTGGGGGGGGGGGTGGAATCTTTGCGCTTGCGAGCGTGTAGAATGTGTGGCTGCTGTTTGCGCGAGCCGAGCTGATGCTGGACAATATGGTGGGGAGTGTAGCTTGACTGAGGCGAGGTTGTGCGAGTGTAGAAACCCAAAAAAAACCGGCCCACCGACCCCCAAACGTTTTGTAAAGAACCTCGAATGAGCGAGCACATGAATGGTGACTCACTGCGGGGGAGAGAAAGGACCCCTTTCTCTCGCGGGTTAAATACGATGAGTGTGCTTGGAGGCGGCGCTGATGAGCTCATGCGTAATGAGCCGTGGGGGGGGGGGCAGTTTTCGTTGTGGGGAGAGTGTTTGTAATAGCCGTGGCCTAGATACCGTGCTGGAAACGCTGCAGTCGTGAGCTCCGTTCTGATGGTTGCTGTCATCTCTGGATAATATAAGATGCGCTTGAGATGGAAGACTTGGGGCTATTAAAGCAAAGTATTTATAATCTGGGGAATATTTTACCGGTGGGGCGGAATCTTCCAGATGATGGAGGGCGCTGCAATGAATGGGTAGATCTTCTTTGGTTCTTTCGGTAAAGTCACGTAGAATGAGAATAAAATAAAACAATTATTTTATCAATTTATTATTTTCTCATTCTACGTGACTTTACCGAAAGAACCAAAGAAGATGAATCCTTGCAGTCACGAAAGCTTTAAATCGAAAAATGGGTAGATGTCTACTGGAAGATAATTCTGAACGATTAACTTTAGGAAGACCTTTCAGATTATGAAACTCGCCTCCAACAAAGGCTTTAAAAATACAGGGTGGTGGGGAGGGAGGGTGGCGGTGTTTAATCTAATCTAGAGAATATTGAATATACCGCTTTCTTTTAGTATGCAGTCTTTGGTGGCTTGGATCAGCATCGTGTCTCACTGCACTTGAACACTGTAAAATTGTAGGCAGTCGGAACCCTGGCTCCAAATCAGGATCTGGACCATTACCGGCATTCACAGTTGACACAGACACGGCCATTATGAACCCATCGAGCTGCACATTCTCTAACGCTGTTAGCCAAGCATCGCACTGTTGGACAAAGTTGCTATAGGGTGGTGGTTCTTAACCGTTACTGCAGCCTTTCACCCCCTTTGTGTCAAACCTATGCATTTATTACCATTATAAATTGTTTTACGCTTGAGAACCCAAAGTACAGTAACTTTGGCTTGTGAGCATAATTGGTTCCGGAAACGTGTTTTTGTAATCCAAAGCACTCGTATATCAGTTGTGATCACGTGACGCTCGGCAGACAAAGCGTGTACACGTACACTGCTCGTATTGCAGGACCTGGCTCGTTTATCAAATTAATATTTATTTAACATTTTTTTGCTCGTCTTGCAAAACACTCGCAGACCAAGGTTTTACCGTAGTTGTGCTTGCGTTGCACGTGCTTAATTCTTGTTTTCGATTATTTACCTTCTAAAACAATCTGGCATGTTTTGCACCTCCAGGGGGTGCGTGACCCCAGGTAAAGCAGAACCACTGCTGTAGGGCCCCACGTAGCTTGGGCAATTGTTGGTGCCGCCTCTGGCTTCCTTCCCCCGCTCGTCTGGTTTCCCACGCCTCTCGGTCTCGGTGACCGGACACTATGCGTTGCAACAACATTCTACATTATTATCACTAAGCAGATGATTGCGGCTATGCATGCGTGTAATCCAGCACTGGAGGCAGTGAGGGTTGGTGGAACCACTGCATGAATGTTGTGGAACTCCCCTCATCAAGGAGTCCGTCCATACCCTGGGCTTGTCGGGAGCAAGGTGTGGTACAGCACAAGGTGTTGGACTTAACCCGTCCTCGCCATATGGGATGGCGACTTTCCCCCCCCAGCATGCATGGGGTTTGCCCAGATTTCCTCCCATGTAAAATGCTCGTCAATTGCCCGATAACAATTTTGACGTACGTAGAGCTTGGGCACTTGTTGGTGGCAGCTCATTGCATGGCTGCCTCGCCTGCTTGTTTTGTGGTTCCTCGAGTCGCCGTCCACGAGAGAGCGAGGAAATGCGTTCCGAGGTGGAGATCATCATTTGTTGGTTGCTGACCACGATTGTATTTCTCGCTCTTCCCCCCCCACCTCAGGTGGGAAGTACGTTCCCAGGGCCATCCTCGTGGACCTCGAGCCCGGCACGATGGACTCGGTGAGGTCCGGACCCTTTGGTCAAATGTTCCGCCCGGACAACTTTGTCTTCGGTGAGTGTCGTTGTCTCCTTGTTCACGTGATGGGTCTCACTACCCATTGTCCGACTGCTTTTACACCATTTGATTTCCGCGTCTTCTATGTTAAAAACTGTCTCGTGTCTTGTACGGGTCTCCTTTCACCCATTATCCATCCCCCCCCCTCCCACCCTTGTTTGTTTGACCCGTGTGGTGTACCTTGTGTCCACTTCCCCTGTGTCATTCTCCCATTGTCTTGCACATTTTATTTTTCACCTCCCTTGGTCTGTCACCCTGTCCATTTCCCCCCCCCCAACCACCCACCTGCTTTATCAAAGTCTTAAAATTAAACTTCATATTTTACCAGGTAAGGCCCGCTAAGCTACGTAGCTGTCTTTTTAGAAGAGACCTGCCCACCACAAATGGTTACTCGCCAAAGTTGCCTATCAAGTGGAAATTTATAGCGGGGAAAATACTCTGTAAATGCGTGACATTGATTTCTAAATGCGGGGATGATGGAGCCAGAACTCCACGCGACCACAGTGAGAGGCGCGCAAACTCCAAATTTACAGCGGGGCATCGTCAGTGTCGGGATTGAACCCACGATCTCCTGTGTACACCAGGCGAGTTGGTCAACATCTTGCTAATGTGGCTCCGCCCACCCGTGCCTACGCGTCTTCTTACCGTCCGCTTCCGGCTCTCCTGTCCCCCACCCCAATCGCACCGCAGGCCAGAGTGGTGCGGGTAACAACTGGGCCAAGGGCCACTACACGGAGGGAGCGGAGCTGGTGGACTCGGTGCTGGACGTGGTGCGCAAGGAGGCGGAGAGCTGCGACTGCCTGCAGGGCTTCCAGCTGACGCACTCGCTGGGCGGCGGCACCGGCTCGGGCATGGGCACCCTGCTCATCAGCAAGATCCGCGAGGAGTACCCCGACCGCATCATGAACACCTTCAGTGTGGTGCCCTCCCCCAAGGTGAGACCGAGTGCTTTAGTCACTGGTACTATAACCCCGACCGCATCATGAACACCTTCAGTGTGGTGCCCTCCCCCAAGGTGAGACCGAGTGCTTTAGTTACTGGTACTCTAACCCCGACCGCATCATGAACACCTTCAGTGTGGTGCCCTCCCCCAAGGTGAGACCGAGTGCTTTAGTTACTGGTACTCTAACCCCGACCGCATCATGAACACCTTCAGTGTGGTGGCCTCCCCCAAGGTGAGACCGAGTGCTTTAGTTACTGGTACTATAACCCCGACCACATCATGAACACCTTCAGTGTGGTGCCTTCCCCCAAGGTGAGACTGAGTGCTTTAGTTACTGGTACTATAACCCCGACCGCATCATGAACACCTTCAGTGTGGTGCCCTCCCCCAAGGTGAGACCGAGTGCTTTAGTTACTGGTGCTATAACCCCGACCGTATCATGAACACCTTCAGTGTGGTGCCCTCCCCCCAAGGTGAGAGGCACAAGATAGAGAAGACCTGTGGTTGTGGAAGGTGATAGTACTGAGGTCCCACATTGTGAGGTGGTGGGTGGTGGTGATGTGGCCTGTAATCCAGCGCTGGAGGCGAGGGCGTCACACTAACGTTGCGATGAAACTCCCTTGCTGTGGCTATCAAGGTGTGGCTCCGTACCCTGCTTCGCCAGAAGGCGGTATAGAAAGTATACTTAGTTGCCGTCTGTTTCCGGCTGTATGGGGATGTTGCCCTGGGTGCTTTTCCAGGTGCTCTGGATTTTCTCCCACGTGCACAACAAACACTCAATTGGCTCAACACCCCCTAGAATAAAAAAACCCAGTAGCATAACCCTCTGGAAAGACTTACCGTGGCTTCCTGCATAAATAGGTAAATTATTGGATTTTGTATTAACATGAACATTTTCAGTAACGGTGTGCCCACAAGGCAAGTGGTACTGGGGGGAGTGGGTACTTACATTCTTAGAGGACTCGGAGACGAGAACTTGGCCTGATGCTTGACTTCACGCTCGCGTAACCCCAATTTATAAAATCGACGTCGCGCGTTTAAGAATGTTTCACTGCTGTAAAGTTCCACGTGTTGGCCACGACTTCGTTGTGCTATCATTTGTGGCCAGATCGCTTCTGAAAAAGAAGCTACACAACTCGGTGGGCCTTTATTGCCTGGCAAAAGAGAAAAAAAAAATCTTTCTCCAATAGTTGAATCCTCCCGACCATGACCATCCCACCATGCTTGTCCACCTGTCCGCTCGTCACCCCACACCCTGCGTGCGCAGGTATCTGACACGGTGGTGGAGCCGTACAACGCGACGCTGTCGGTGCACCAGCTGGTGGAGAACACGGACGAGACGTACTGCATCGACAACGAGGCGCTCTACGACATCTGCTTCCGCACCCTCAAGCTCACGACGCCCACGTACGGCGACCTGAACCACCTGGTGTCGGCCACCATGAGCGGCGTCACCACCTGCCTGCGCTTCCCGGGCCAGCTCAACGCCGACCTGCGCAAGCTCGCCGTCAACATGGTGCCCTTCCCGCGCCTGCACTTCTTCATGCCGGGCTTCGCGCCGCTCACCAGCCGCGGCTCGCAGCAGTACCGCGCGCTCACCGTGCCCGAGCTCACCCAGCAGATGTTCGACGCCAAGAACATGATGGCGGCGTGCGACCCGCGGCACGGCCGCTACCTCACGGTGGCCGCCATCTTCCGCGGCCGCATGTCCATGAAGGAGGTGGACGAGCAGATGCTGAACATTCAGAACAAGAACAGCAGCTACTTCGTCGAGTGGATCCCCAACAACGTGAAGACGGCCGTGTGCGACATCCCGCCCCGCGGCCTCAAGATGTCGGCCACCTTCATCGGCAACAGCACGGCCATCCAGGTGCGTGCGGGTGGTGGAGTTTGGTGGTGGTGGTGGTGGGGCGGCGGTGGCGTAGCGCTACGACGAACCCCTGCGGCCCGAGGTTCGATTCTCGCCCGTGGCCATATATCGGTGACTTATCTGAATTGGTCCCGGGCCTCCCCTCGGTCGAGCCGGCCTGAAATGAGTACCTGGTCCGGTGTGTAAACATCGCCACTAGGGAGACAAAGGCGGCCGGGCGTGGTTTGTCACCCACCCCTTGTTAGCTGCTTGCTAACGGGTGCTTGCTCCAACAGCCTGTAAAGGCTAGATGGTGGGAATTTGTGGAGTTTGGAAGGTGGTTTTTTTGTGTGGCATGGAGGGTCTTATGAGTGGGAGTGGGTTTACGGGGGATTGAGTCTTAGTTAATCGGAGGTGCGAGGGGAAGGGGAACCCCTTTGAGGATCTGTCCCCTTGAGAGTGGCTCTCAGGAGCCTGTGTTGTTCCCCAGTGGAGAACCTGGGACTTTTGCCAGCGGTCGGTTGAGAAGCGCTGGCTTTCAGGAGGATCCTTGTCCTGCTCCTACCTCTGATTAGCAACTTGGGTTTTGGGATCATTTGATTTTATCGGACCTACAAAAACTGCTGCTGTGGGAGAGACCCCCCCCCCCCCCCCGATTCTAGATTTGAAGCTTTCGTGACCGCAAGGATCCATACTCTTTGGTTCTATTCGGTAAAGTCACTTGGGTAAAAAAATAAAACGACAAAAATCACGTTCGTTTAATTTTTTACCTCCGTGACTTTACCGAATAGAACCAAAGAGTATAGACCCCCAGATGTTATGCCTTCACCACCCCCTTAACAACAAGTGTCTCACCCCCCCGTGTCTCTTCACCACCCCCTTAACAACAAGTGTCTCACCCCCCCGTGTCTCTTCACCACCCCCTTAACAAGTGTCTCACCCACCCGTGTCTCTTCACCACCCCCTTAACAACAAGTGTCTCACCCACCCGTGTCTCTTCACCCCCCCCTTAACAACAAGTGTCTCGCCCCCCCGTGTCTCTTCACCACCCCCTTAACAACAAGTGTCTCGCCCCCCCGTGTCTCTTCACCACCCCCTTAATAACAAGTGTCTCACCCCCACCCACCCCGTGTCTCTTCACCCCCTTAACAACAAGTGTCTCACCCCCCCCCCCCCCCCCCGTGTCTCTTCACCACCCCCTTAACAACAAGTGTCTCACCCCCCCCACCCACCCCGTGTCTCTTCACCACCCCCTTAACAACAAGTGTCTCAACCCACCCCCGTGTCTCTTCACCACCCCCTTAACAACAAGTGTCTCCCCCCCCGTGTCTCTTCACCACCCCCTTAACAAGTGTCTCACCCACCCGTGTCTCTTCACCACCCCCTTAACAACAAGTGTCTCACCCACCCGTGTCTCTTCACCACCCCCTTAACAACAAGTGTCTCGCCCCCCCGTGTCTCTTCACCACCCCCTTAACAACAAGTGTCTCGCCCCCCCGTGTCTCTTCACCACCCCCTTAATAACAAGTGTCTCACCCCCACCCACCCCGTGTCTCTTCACCCCCTTAACAACAAGTGTCTCACCCCCCCCCCCCCCCCCCGTGTCTCTTCACCACCCCCTTAACAACAAGTGTCTCACCCCCCCCACCCACCCCGTGTCTCTTCACCACCCCCTTAACCACAAGTGTCTCAACCCACCCCCGTGTCTCTTCACCACCCCCTTAACAACAAGTGTCTCACCCCCCCCGTGTCTCTTCACCACCCCCTTAACAACAAGTGTCTCACCCCCCCCGTGTCTCTTCACCACCCCCTTAACAACAAGTGTCTCACCCCCACCCACCCCGTGTCTCTTCACCACCCCCTTAACAACAAGTGTCTCACCCCCCCCGTGTCTCTTCACCACCCCCTTAACAACAAGTGTCTCACCCCCCCCGTGTCTCTTCACCACCCCCTTAACAACAAGTGTCTCACCCCCCACCCCGTGTCTCTTCACCACCCCCTTAACAACAAGTGTCTCACCTCCACCCACCCCGTGTCTTCACCCCCTTAACAACAAGTGTCTCACCCCCCCGTGTCTCTTCACCGCCCCCTTAACAACAAGTGTCTCACCCCCACCCACCCCCCCGTGTCTCTTCACCACCCCCTTAACAACAAGTGTCTCACCCCCACCCACCCCGTGTCTCTTCACCACCCCCTTAACAACAAGTGTCTCACCCCCCCGTGTCTCTTCATCACCCCCTTAACAACAAGTGTCTCACCCCCCCGTGTCTCTTCACCACCCCCTTAACAACAAGTGTCTCACCCCCCCGTGTCTCTTCACCACCCCCTTAACAACAAGTGTCTCACCCCCCCGTGTCTCTTCACCACCCCCTTAACAACAAGTGTCTCACCCCCACCCACCCCCCCCGTGTCTCTCCCCGCGTGTGCAGGAGCTGTTCAAGCGAATCTCTGAGCAGTTCACGGCCATGTTCCGCCGCAAGGCCTTCCTGCACTGGTACACGGGCGAGGGCATGGACGAGATGGAGTTCACCGAGGCGGAGAGCAACATGAACGACCTCGTCTCCGAGTACCAGCAGTACCAGGACGCCACGGCCGAGGAGGAGGGAGAGTTTGAGGAGGAGGGCGAGGAGGAGGCCGCCTAGATGGTGGTGTTGCCCAGGGGGGGGAGGGGGGGGGGGTAAGAAACGACAAGTTAAGTAAAACCAACGTCACGGTAACACGAGAGGGGGAGAGGTGATGGGAAATAAACTTAATGTGAACCGCAGTGGGGGGGGGGGGGGGGGGTGGAGTGAGATGAGGGAGGATAGGAACCGAACCGGTGGCCATGGTGGAGACACCACGGCTCCAGTAGCTACATGGCACGCACAGGGTTTGTTATTCATCATTGATACATCATGGGGAGCGGCCTCTTCCGTGGACATCCTAATGAAGTGGACTTCTTGACCTATGACCTTTAAGTTTGTCGCGAGCAACGTGGGTCACAGCCCCCCACGCACGTACGCTGTGCGTTTTGTAGCTACGACGGAAGGCCACCGTTTTCCTGGCGAGAGTCTTCCCGTTATGAATTTGAGAAATCTGCAGTCCCTAGGGAGGTGTGGTTGTGGGGGCATGGGCGGGGGTGGTGGCGAGTTTTAGGTAAACGGTTTAGCGTGGGGTTGGTGGTAGATGCTGCGTGCTTATCTGCAGACGTGGGAGGGGGGGGTGGTGGTGTACGTGCACAGGTGTGAAGGCTGGCTGGCTACCACATCCCCACCCATGGGTTATCCGTCTGTGTTGGAAGGGAAACGTTCTTGTGTCACCTGCCCGTGTGCGTGCATGGAATCCCCATGCCCAGCCTTGGCTTGTGTGCGTAATGTGGGGAAGCCTCCCCCCCCCCACACAAAGCCACCTGCATGCATCATCTTGCACCTGTGCATCGTTTGTATGCCTGTACAAGTCGATTTGAGTATTAAAACCACCTCCCCACCCACGCCCCCCTAACTGTTGTCGATGGGGAAGGACAATTTGGGCAGTCTCCAGCAGAATGTGTGTAGTGTTCCAGACACGATTGCGCACGCCTGCTGCTAAAATCACGTTCACGGATTTGTTCTCTTGTGAAAGTTGTACATTTTATTTTAGCCCCCCCTCCCACGTTGACTTGTTGGGGGTGGACGGTGGCTCCCGCTAGTCGTACTGCATGTGCTGCCACCTCGTGTTTGCGGGCTGATGAGCGTGCACCTTCAACCCCCCCTCCCCTCCTGCCACTGTACTCCCGTCAACTTCCATGTTATCGCCCTCCTGTGACAACACCGATGTCTTAAAATGATTATTTTTTTGTCCTCGCAAAACTTGGTCCGGACAAACATCCACTTTGTACAAAGTCCTTAATTATTTTGTGTTTCAGAATCTTGTTTACCGGTTTTAAGTTGATGGCATTGCCTCTCGCAATAACCTCTTCATAGCAACTTGCAAATGAACATTAGTCCTGTTTAAAAAAAATGTTGGCTGCTGTAAGAGAAGTCGTTTTGTGTCTTGGAACTTTGCCCCCCTTCCTGTCTACTGGAGCCATTTCCCTGGGACTGTGCCCAATTCTCACCCACATCCCCACCCCTCCTCTCCACGCGTTGCCAACAGTTGCTGTAAGGGAAGGTGGACACTCGCACAAATTGAAACAAGTGAAACGTCGCTTTTTGACCCAAGTACAATTATGCCTCTTGGGGAAAGTGAGGCGTCAATAAAAAAAAGGCATTGAAAGATGACTTGGCTTGGTCTGAGTGCTGTCTTGTCTCTGCAATTGGTTGCAACTTGTAACATGTCCTACAGTGTTTGCTCAGGTGAGGAGGGGGGGGTAGTAGCTCTTGAGCAGCTGGTGTTGAGGAACCAGAAGTGGGGAAAGGTTGATAGATCTATCTGCAATTGTTAGACATGCTTTCAGCAGATTTTAAGTCGGCATGAATTGTAAATTGTTTAAATATTTAATCTAGTACCAGTGCTGTGACATGGCCCATACTTTGGTGGAAGTAGTTGGTGACTCATCTGTTTTAGAGCCCATTAAACAACTTCACAAGGAGCTAAGAAAACCCACAACTTTATTCAGCAAAAAAACATGCCCCTCCACCATTGTCTTACTCCCATGCCTGTTTAAAACAGGCCACTCGTCCCCTCTACAGCGTTCTCCTGGCTACTGAAGGCCTGCCAGGGGCCAGTGCCACCCCCCCATTCTCACTGCAAGGCCTGCAGAAGCCAGTGTCAACCTGCCCGTCTCTCTACCCACCCCCACCCCACGGGTGTCCCCTCTTCTCACTGTGGTATTCTCCCAGCTTTCTGGAATGCCTGCAGGAGGCCATCGCCCTCGCGCAGGGCGTAGGTGAGGGTGCCCCTCGCGTAGTGCTGGGGGTCGGCGGCCAGGGCCCTCAGCACGTCGCCCAGCAGGTGCGCCCGCTCCACACCGCCGCCCGGGGCCTCTGAGCCCACGTGGGTCACGTGCACGTGCAGGTGGTAGTAGGAGGGCTGGTAGTGCAGGTAGCAGCGCAGGCGACACGCAGCCAACCCGTAGCGATCCAGCACGGCCGCCTGCGGCGAGGGGGGAGGGGCGAGTCGTTGGGTGGCTGAGGTAGGCGGGTGGACAGGTTGGTAACTTGTGTGCGTGGCAGGGTTGGCGAGTGAGGTGGATGGGTGACCTGCGTCTTGGTGAGGATGTTCTGCAGCAGGGGCAGGTGCTCCCCCGTGAGGTCGCGTAGGGACTTGAGCCCTCGCTTGTGGCAGATGGCGATGAGGTAGAGCTCGTTCGTCTGCAGGCACCGGTCATCAAAATACGTCGACACCACCAACGCCTTCACAACACTGGGTCTGCCTTCACTCACCACAACACTGACCTTGCCTTCACTCACCACCACACTGACCCTGCCTTCACTCACCACAACACTGACCCTGCCTTCACTCACCACAGCACTGACCCTGCCTTCACTCACCACACAACACTGGGTCTGCCTTCACTCGCCACACAACACTGACCCTGCCTTCACTCACCACACAACACTGACCCTGCCTTCACTCACCACACAACACTGACCCTGCCTTCACTCACCACAACACTGACCCTGCCTTCACTCACCACACAACACTGACCCTGCCTTCACTCACCACACAACACTGACCCTGCCTTCACTCACCACACAACACTGACCCTGCCTTCACTCACCACACAACACTGACCCTGCCTTCACTCACCACACAACACTGACCCTGCCTTCACTCACCACACAACACTGACCCTGCCTTCACTCACCACACAACACTGACCCTGCCTTCACTCACCACACAACACTGACCCTGCCTTCACTCACCACACAACACTGACCCTGCCTTCACTCACCACACAACACTGACCCTGCCTTCACTCACCACACAACACTGACCCTGCCTTCACTCACCACAACACTGGCCCTGCCTTCACTCACCACAACACTGACCCTGCCTTCACTCACCACACAACACTGACCCTGCCTTCACTCACCACAGCACTGACCCTGCCTTCACTCACCACACAACACTGACCCTGCCTTCACTCACCACAGCACTGACCCTGCCTTCACTCACCACACAACACTGACCCTGCCTTCACTCACCACAGCACTGACCCTGCCTTCACTCACCACACAACACTGGCCCTGCCTTCACTCACCACAACACTGACCCTGCCTTCACTCACCACACAACACTGGCCCTGCCTTCACTCACCACAACACTGACCCTGCCTTCACTCACCACAACACTGACCCTGCCTTCACTCACCACAACACTGACCCTGCCTTCACTCACCACAACACTGACCCTGCCTTCACTCACCACACAACACTGGGTCTGCCTTCACTCGCCACACAACACTGACCCTGCCTTCACTCACCACACAACACTGACCCTGCCTTCACTCGCCACACAACACTGACCCTGCCTTCACTCACCACAGCACTGGCCCTGCCTTCACTCACCACACAACACTGACCCTGCCTTCACTCACCACAACACTGACCCTGCCTTCACTCACCACAACACTGACCCTGCCTTCACTCACCACAGCACTGACCCTGCCTTCACTCACCACACAACACTGGGTCTGCCTTCACTCGCCACACAACACTGACCCTGCCTTCACTCGCCACACAACACTGACCCTGCCTTCACTCGCCACACAACACTGACCCTGCCTTCACTCACCACAACACTGGCCCTGCCTTCACTCACCACACAACACTGACCCTGCCTTCACTCGCCACACAACACTGACCCTGCCTTCACTCACCACAGCACTGGCCCTGCCTTCACTCACCACACAACACTGACCCTGCCTTCACTCACCACAGCACTGACCCTGCCTTCACTCACCACACAACACTGGGTCTGCCTTCACTCACCACAACACTGACCCTGCCTTCACTCACCACAACACTGGCCCTGCCTTCACTCACCACAACACTGACCCTGCCTTCACTCACCACAGCACTGACCCTGCCTTCACTCACCACACAACACTGACCCTGCCTTCACTCACCACACAGCACTGACCCTGCCTTCACTCACCACACAACACTGACCCTGCCTTCACTCACCACACAACACTGGGTCTGCCTTCACTCACCACAACACTGACCCTGCCTTCACTCACCACAACACTGGCCCTGCCTTCACTCACCACAACACTGACCCTGCCTTCACTCACCACACAACACTGACCCTGCCTTCACTCACCACACAGCACTGACCCTGCCTTCACTCACCACACAACACTGACCCTGCCTTCACTCACCACAACACTGACCCTGCCTTCACTCACCACACAACACTGACCCTGCCTTCACTCACCACAACACTGACCCTGCCTTCACTCACCACACATCACTGACCCTGCCTTCACTCACCACACAACACTGGCCCTGCCAGTCCCCTACCCTCACCTGCTTCTGGTCCCACTTGAGGTCAGGCAGCAGCACGAAGCCGGTCTCTGGGTCGGGATCTTCAAACACGACCCGCTCCACCTCTGCCTTCTTATCCAGGATGTTATACACCCACTGATCACACACACACATATATACACATGTTATACACCCACTGATCACACACACACATATACACATGTTATACACCCACTGATCACACACACACACATATATACACATGTTATACACCCACTGATCACACACACATATATATACACATGTTATACACCCACTGATCACACACACACATATACACATGTTATACACCCACTGATCACACACACACATATACACATGTTATACACCCACTGATCACACACACACACACATATATACACATGTTATACACCCACTGATCACACACACATATATACACATGTTATACACCCACTGATCACACACACACATATATACACATGTTATACACCCACTGATCACACACACACATATATACACATGTTATACACCCACTGATCACACACACATATATACACATGTTATACACCCACTGATCACACACACATACACATGTTATACACCCACTGATCACACACACACACATATATACACATGTTATACACCCACTGATCACACACACATACACATGTTATACACCCACTGATCACACACACACATATATACACATGTTATACACCCACTGATCACACACACATATATACACATGTTATACACCCACTGATCACACACACACACATATATACACATGTTATACACCCACTGATCACACATATACACATGTTATACACCCACTGATCACACACACATATATATACACATGTTATACACCCACTGATCACATATATATACACATGTTATACACCCACTGATCACACACACACGTTATACACCCACTGATCACACACATATACACATGTTATACACCCACTGATCACACATATACACATGTTATACACCCACTGATCACACATATATATACACACATGTTATACACCCACTGATCACACACACATATATACACATGTTATACACCCACTGATCACACATATACACGTTATACACCCACTGATCACACACACATATATATACACATGTTATACACCCACTGATCACACACACACACACATATATACACATGTTATACACCCACTGATCACACACACACGTTATACACCCACTGATCACACACATATATACACACATGTTATACACCCACTGATCACACACACACATATATACACATGTTATACACCCACTGATCACACACGCATGTTATACACCCACTGATCACACACATACACATGTTATACACCCACTGATCACACACACATGTTATACACATGTTATACACCCACTGATCACACACATGTTATACACATGTTATACACCCACTGATCACACACACACATGTTATACACCCACTGATCACACACATGTTATACACATGTTATACACCCACTGATCACACACACATGTTATACACATGTTATACACCCACTGATCACACACACATGTTATACACATGTTATACACCCACTGATCACATGTTATACACATGTTATACACCCACTGATCACATGTTATACACATGTTATACACCCACTGATCACACACACATGTTATACACATGTTATACACCCACTGATCACACACATATACACGTTATACACCCACTGATCACACACACATGTTATACACGTTATACACCCACTGATCACACACATGTTATACACATGTTATACACCCACTGATCACACACACATGTTATACACATGTTATACACCCACTGATCACACATATATACACGTTATACACCCACTGATCTCACACACACATATATACACATGTTATACACCCACTGATCACACACACATGTTATACACATGTTATACACCCACTGATCACACACATACACATGTTATACACCCACTGATCACACACATGTTATACACCCACTGATCACACACATGTTATACACCCACTGATCACACACGTTATACACATGTTATACACCCACTGATCACACACACACATGTTATACACATGTTATACACCCACTGATCACACACATGTTATACACATGTTATACACCCACTGATCACACACATGCTATACACATGTTATACACCCACTGATCACATGTTATACACATGTTATACACCCACTGATCACACACACATGTTATACACATGTTATACACCCACTGATCACACACACATGTTATACACATGTTATACACCCACTGATCACACACACACATGTTATACACCCACTGATCACACACATATACACGTTATACACCCACTGATCACACATATACACACATGTTATACACCCACTGATCTCACACACACACATATATACATGTTATACACCCACTGATCACACACACATGTTATACACATGTTATACACCCACTGATCACACACATATACACATGTTATACACCCACTGATCACACACATGTTATACACGTTATACACCCACTGATCACACACATGTTATACACATGTTATACACCCACTGATCACACACATACACATGTTATACACCCACTGATCACACACACATATATACATGTTATACACCCACTGAACACACACACACATATATACACATGTTATACACCCACTGATCACACACACACATGTTATACACCCACTGATCACACACACACACATATACACATGTTATACACCCACTGATCACACACACATGTTATACACCCACTGATCACACACATATATACACACATGTTATACACCCACTGATCACACACACATATATACACATGTTATACACCCACTGATCACACACGCATGTTATACACCCACTGATCACACACATATACACATGTTATACACCCACTGATCACACACACATGTTATACACATGTTATACACCCACTGATCACACACACATGTTATACACATGTTATACACCCACTGATCACACACACACACACATGTTATACACCCACTGATCACACACATGTTATACACATGTTATACACCCACTGATCACACACACGTTATACACATGTTATACACCCACTGATCACACACACATGTTATACACATGTTAAACACCCACTGATCACACACACACATGTTATACACATGTTATACACCCACTGATCACACACACGTTATACACATGTTATACACCCACTGATCACACACACACATGTTATACACATGTTATACACCCACTGATCACACACGTTATACACATGTTATACACCCACTGATCACACACATGTTATACACATGTTATACACCCACTGATCACACACATATACACGTTATACACCCACTGATCACACATATACACACATGTTATACACCCACTGATCTCACACACACACATATATACATGTTATACACCCACTGATCACACACACATGTTATACACATGTTATACACCCACTGATCACACACACATGTTATACACATGTTATACACCCACTGATCACACACACATGTTATACACATGTTATACACCCACTGATCACACACATACACATGTTATACACCCACTGATCACACACACATATATACATGTTATACACCCACTGAACACACACACACATATATACACATGTTATACACCCACTGATCACACACACATGTTATACACCCACTGATCACACACACACACATATACACATGTTATACACCCACTGATCACACACACAAGTTATACACCCACTGATCACACACACAAGTTATACACCCACTGATCACACACATATATATACACATGTTATACACCCACTGATCACACACACACATGTTATACACCCACTGATCACACACATATATACACATGTTATACACCCACTGATCACACACACACATGTTATACACCCACTGATCACACACACACACATATATATACACATGTTATACGCCCACTGATCACACATATATACACATATACACCCACTGATCACACACACACACATGTTATACACCCACTGATCACACACACATATATGCATGTTATACACCCGCTGATCACACACACGTTATACACCCACTGATCATACACACACGTCATACACCCACTGATCATACATACACATGTTATACACCCACTGATCACACACACACACACGTTATACACCCACTGATCACACACACACACACGTTATACACCCACTGATCACACACACACACGTTATACACCCACTGATCACTCACACACACACACGTTATACACCCACTGATCACTCACACACACACACGTTATACACCCACTGATCACACACACACATATATACACCCACTGATCACACACACATATATACACCCACTGATCACACACACACATATATATACACATGTTATACACCCACTGATCTCACACACACACACATATACACATGTTATACACCCACTGATCACACACACACACGTTATACACCCACTGATCACACACAATGTTATACACCCGCTGATCACACACACGTTATACACCCACTGATCACACACACACGTTATACACCCACTGATCACACACACACACACGTTATACACCCACTGATCACACACACATGTTATACACCCACTGATCACACACATATACACACGTTATACACCCACTGACCACACACACGTTTAGAGTAATAGCGCTGGCTGCTGACTAAAAGTGGTCCCGACAGCGTATGGCAGTACCCACGTCAGCAGTATCACCGGGGGGGGGAAGACAACTCGGGGGGAAAGCTCAGGAAGGGGTCCATCTGGCAGCCCCGGGAACCCGCAAGTAGGTTCCAGCAGCCCTGGGAACCCACAAGTAGGTTCCAGCAGCCCAGAGAACCCGCAAGTAGGTTCCAGCAGCCCTGGGAACCTGCAAGTAGGTTCCAGCAGCACCGGGAACCTGCAAGTAGGTTCCAGCAGCCCTGGGAACCTGCAAGTAGGTTCCAGCAGCCCCACGAACCTGCAAGTTGGTTCCAGCAGCCCTGGGAACCTGCAAGTAGGTTCCAGCAGCCCCGAGAACCCGCAAGTAGGTTCCAGCAGCCCTGGGAACCTGCAAGTTGGTTCCAGCAGCACCGGGAACCTGCAAGTAGGTTCCAGCAGCCCCGCGAACCTGCAAGTTGGTTCCAGCAGCCCAGAGAACCTGCAAGTAGGTTCCAGCAGCCCAGAGAACCTGCAAGTAGGTTCCAGCAGCCCAGAGAACCTGCAAGTTGGTTCCAGCAGCACCAGGAACCTGCAAGTAGGTTCCAGCAGCCCCGCGAACCTGCAAGTTGGTTCCAGCAGCCCAGAGAACCTGCAAGTAGGTTCCAGCAGCCCCGCGAACCTGCAAGTAGGTTCCAGCAGCCCCGCGAACCTGCAAGTTGGTTCCAGCAGCCCAGAGAACCTGCAAGTAGGTTCCAGCAGCCCAGAGAACCTGCAAGTAGGTTCCAGCAGCCCAGAGAACCTGCAAGTAGGTTCCAGCAGCCCAGAGAACCTGCAAGTAGGTTCCAGCAGCCCCGAGAACCTGCAAGTAGGTTCCAGCAGCACCGAGAACCTGCAAGTAGGTTCCAGCAGCCCGGAGAACCCGCAAGTAGGTTCCAGCAGCACCGAGAACCTGCAAGTAGGTTCCAGCAGCCCTGGGAACCTGCAAGTAGGTTCCAGCAGCCCGGAGAACCCGCAAGTTGGTTCCAGCAGCACCGGGAACCTGCAAGTAGGTTCCAGCAGCCCAGAGAACCCGCAAGTAGGTTCCAGCAGCCCAGAGAACCCGCAAGTTGGTTCCAGCAGCCCCGAGAACCCGCAAGTAGGTTCCAGCAGCCCTGGGAACCCGCAAGTAGGTTCCAGCAGCACCGAGAACCTGCAAGTAGGTTCCAGCAGCCCCGAGAACCCGCAAGTAGGTTCCAGCAGCCCTGGGAACCCGCAAGTAGGTTCCAGCAGCCCAGAGAACCCGCAAGTAGGTTCCAGCAGCTCAGAGAACCCGCAAGTTGGTTCCCGCAGCCCTGGGAACCTGCACAAGTAGGTTCCAGCAGCCCCAAGAACCCGCAAGTAGGTTCCAGCAGCCCAGAGAACCTGCAAGTAGGTTCCAGAAGCCCGGAGAACCTGCAAGTAGGTTCCAGCAGCCCCGGGAACCTGCACAAGTAGGTTCCAGAAGGGGGGCGTGGCCAGGGCAGAGCGAGGCCACGCCAGGAGTCTAAGAGGGAGCTCTGAGCGAGACCTCGGGGCTGAAAGTGGATCCCCTCGCCGTGCTGCTGTTCATCTCCATCGTCGCCACCGTCTTCGCCATCGCTGGGCGCCGCTAGACAGTGCCACCCACAGGCGGCTGTGTGTAATATATATGTGTGTGTGTGAATGGCGTGCACTCACGTAGGGTGCGTGTGGCCCCCTTAGCGTGCGGGAATCAAGGTGCCGCAAATGATTCCTGTCTCTGAACTGCGTCCCGACACGTTGTACACCCACTAGGAACAACCACGCAGTGGTGGTGACGTCACCACCACTCGGTGGTGACGTCACCACCACTAGGAACAACCACCGAGTGGTGGTGACATCACCACTAGGTGGTTGTTCCTAGTGGTAGTGACGTCACCACCACTCGGTGGTTGTTCCTAGTGGTGGTGACGTCACCACCACTCGGTGGTGACGTCACCACCACTAGGAACAACCACGCAGTGGTGGTGACGTCACCATGTCGCTTGCACCAGCCTCCGTGCGCTTTAAGGCCACGTGAAGTGTCGCAGGCTTGCTGCTGGCAGGTCACGTGACACACCCAGGTGGTGCCATGGGCTGACCGAGATGACTGGCAGATGCATCACTGTGCCAGGCTAGGTGCAGGAGGTCACAGGACAGACCCATTGGATGACATGGGTTGACTGAGATGACTGGCAGATGCATCACTGTGCCAGGCTAGGTGCAGGTCACGGGACAGACCCAGTGGATGACATGGGTTGACTGAGATGACTGGCAGATGCATCACTGTGCCAGGCTAGGTGCAGGTCACAGGACAGACCCATTGGATGACATGGGTTGACCGAGATGACTGGCAGATGCATCACTGTGCCAGGCTAGGTGCAGGACGTCACAGGACAGACCCAGTGGATGACATCGGCTGACTGAGATGACTGGCAGATGCATCACTGTGCCAGGCTAGGTGCAGGAGGTCACGGGACAGACCCAGTGGATGACATGGGCTGACTGAGATGACTGGCAGATGCATCACTGTGCCAGGCTAGGTACAGGAGGTCACGGGACAGACCCAGCAGGTGCCATCAGTTGACCGAGATGACTGGCAGATGCACACCAGCTGTGCTCCCCACTGTGCAGTCTCACGACAATTTAGTCACCCGGCGCTCCGCTCATTGTTGCTGGAGGGCGACTACCCCCAAACTGCCCAGCAGTATCCACAATAACACAGACAGACTGTTGGGGCAAGTGCTGTTAACGAGCACCAACGAAGGCCGACCTAGCGGAGGCCCAGGACTGGTTCTGATCGTCGTCACGTACATACAACACGCACACAAATACATACAACACACATACACGATACGTACAACACACATGTACGTACGCGAATATACAGTGGTCCCTCGGTTAACGATTAATTGGCTCCACGAAAACCATCATTAATCGAAAACGTGAAATACAGGACGTGTTAAAGGCTTCGTCTGCTCCAAGACGACAGGCGAGTCCCCTTCCACGAGAACCCGGAGGTTCAGCGAGAGGTGTGGGGCGTGCCTGCAGGCTGAAGTTGCTGGTCTGCAGGAAGGGCAGCGTGGTAGAGCGGTAGTCCGAGGCGGTCTCCTCGATGAGGAACGCCTCGCGGTGCGTGTACTTCAGGAGGTGCAACGGGGTGGCCGGGCAGATGACGGTGGCCTTCATCTCTACACGCCGGCGACGCACAGACACGGGTTGGAGGATACAGAAACGCGGGGATATGGAGACACGGGGGAATAAGTCACACAGCGGCGTGGCCGGGGCAGCTAACAGGAGCATTCAACTATACAGGGATAGGGAGATAGGGGGGTATATGGACACGGGGACACGGGGAAATTTGAGACACTGAGACACTGAGACACAGACAAGAGCCATGAAGAAATAAGTCACACAGCGGGGTGGCCGGGCAGATAACAGGAACATTCAACTATGCGGAGACAAGGAGATAGGGGGATATATGGACACGGGGACACGGGGAAATTTGAGACACTGAGACACAGACAAGAGCCATGAAGAAATAAGTCCCACAGCGGGGTGACCAGGCAGATAACAGGAACATTCAACTATGCGGAGACAAGGAGATAGGGAGATATATGACACGGGGACACGGGGAAATTGAGACACTGAGACACTGAGACACAGACAAGAGCCATGAAGAAATAAGTCACACAGCGGGGTGACCGGGGCAGATAACAGGAGCATTCAACTATACAGGGATAGGGAGATAGGGAGATATATGGACACGGGGACACGGGGAAATTGAGACACTGAGACACTGAGACACAGACAAGAGCCATGAAGAAATAAGTCCCACAGCGGGGTGACCAGGCAGCTAACAGGAGCATTCAACTATACAGGGATAGGGAGATAGGGAGATATATGGACACGGGGACACGGGGAAATTGAGACACTGAGACACTGAGACACAGACAAGAGCCATGAAGAAATAAGTCCCACAGCGGGGTGACCAGGCAGCTAACAGGAGCATTCAACTATACAGGGATAGGGAGATAGGGGGATATATGGACACGGGGAAATTGAGACACTGAGACACAGACAAGAACCATGAAGAAATAAGTCCCACAGCGGGGTGACCAGGCAAATAACAGGAACATTCAACTATGCGGAGACACGGCACCATGCCGCAATTTGCGGAAAAAGAATCGGGTCACACCCACAAACGTCGCTCAAGTGGGATCACGCGCGGATGCAGCGGCATTAGTCGTCGGCGGCGACAGCGAAAACCCGCCATGACCCTCCTGAAAGTCGGTCGCGAGACTCGCCGAGCCTCTCCCCGCTGGGTCAGCGAGCCGATACGTAACTACAATTTCTTCCGTGCCGTTCCTCTTATTCCTCGGAAGAGGCAGACACAGCGACGGCGAACAACCCCGAGGGGACTCTCCTCACGGTCAGATACGAGACTCGGTGAGGCTCCCCCCCCCCCCCCCCCCCACCAGGTCAAAGAGCCGATTCGTCGTTACAACCTTCCTTCCTTGCGGTTCCTCTCGTTGCTACGAAACCTCGAACCCCCGTGGCTGCACCGCATGGGCACAAGAGGCGGGAGTGGGGACGCTGTAGACACAGAACGGGCACTGGAAGAGGAAATGGAACGAAGCCACGGCAGCCAAGGGCCAGGTGAGGAGACACGAATGGCTTCGACGTTGCTGCCACATGAAGGAGCGGTGTCTTTATCGGACTGATCCGATTGCTACGATTGATCAGATTGCTACGATTGATCCGATTGCTACGATTGATCCGATTGCTACGATTGATCCGATTGATCCGATTGCTACGATTGATCAGATTGCTACGATTTATCCGATTGCTATGATTTATCCGATTGCTACGATTTATCCGATTGCTACGATTTATCCGATTGCTACGATTGATCAGATTGCTACGAAATATTCAGATTGCTACGATTTATCCGATTGCTACGATTTCTACGATTCATCCAATTGCTATGATTTATCTGAATGATCCAATTGCTATGATTGATCGGACTGCTGCGATTGATCCAATTGCTATGATTAATCGGATTTCTACGATTGCTACCATTAATCTGATTTCTATGATTGATCAAATTGATGAGACTTACCAACTGGCTACATACTCTTTGGTTCTTTCGGTAAAGTTACTTAGTAGCTATAAAATATAATAAATTAAATCACGCCGTTTCGGGCGCAACACAAGGGTCCATCATCAGGTGGGACAACTGTAGCCAAGAAACAAATTGCTGCCCATCATTGGACCTCCTTTGCCAGTACAAAAATGTAATAATAGCGGGTTTTCCCCCCCTTTTTTCTGGCAACATAACTGAAACATTTTTTTTTTACAAGGATTCATGCCTACTGCATTGATCACAATACCTGCAGTCAATGGTGTGGGGACCAATCAGTTTCAAGGACAATGCATATTCTAGATGTGAAGCTTTTCGCGACTGCAAGGAATCCATACTCCTTTGGTTCTATTCGGTAAAGTCGCGTGTCCAGTTGACAGGTTGGTCCCTTCACCTGATGAAGGCCGCTTGTGTTGTGGCTGAAGCGTCGTGGTTTTTTGTCCTTTTATTTTTTACCTACGTGACTTTACCCAATAGAACCAAGGAGTATGACAATGCATATATTATATTTTTTAGCTATTTCGGTAAAGTCACGTTGAAGGGAAACAATAAAATAATAAAAAATATATAAAACAATATAAAAAAAAATTCTCACGACGTTTCGACCGTAACACGAACGGTCGTCATCAGGTGTGTTATGGTCGAAACGTCGTGAGAATTTTTTTTTATATTGTTTTATATATTTTTTATTATTTTATTGTTTCCCTTCAACGTGACTTTACCGAAAGAGCTAAGAATATGAATTACTGCAGTCACGAAAGCTTTAAATCAAAATTTAATGCATATGATATCATAGTATGTTTTTTTGTTTGCATTTTGACTGCAGGTATTGTGGTTAATGTAGTAACATAAATCCTTGTAAGGTTTCCGTTTTGTTGCCAGAAAAAAGGGGAAAAACCCCTATCATTATATTTATTATAAATTGCTGCCCTACTTCAGCAATGTGTTTTCTTGCTGTGGTTGTCCCCGCCTGATGATGGTTCGCTTGCGTTGTGCCCGAAACGTCGCGGTTTAATTTATTTTCTACCTACTACGTGACTTTACCGAAAGAACCAAAGAACGTGGATCCCCGGCAGTCACGAAAACGTCAAATGGAACTTGCTGCAATTGATCCGATTGATCAAATTGCTGCGATTGATCCGAATGCTGCAGGCGGTGCCCACCGCTGCTCCCTGGCGGTGGGCGTGCTGTGTAGGTGCCGTAGATGTCGTTCTGGAGGTCTCCCTGCAGCTCCGTGTCCACGCTCAGCAGCCCCGGCAGCTGGGACTCGCGGAAGGGAGTCTTCTCCAGGATCACGACGGCATCACGACCCTCCTCCTCCTCCACCTCCTCCTCGCCATCCTTCCTCTCACCGTCACCGCCGTCACCGCCACTCTGCGGCCGCAGCAATGGGCAGAGGGCAAGGTGGGGTTCAGGGGTTGTTCATCCCAGTTGGATTTATTCATCGCCGTCGTCGTCATCGTCGTCATCATCCGTCATCGTCGCTTTAAAGAAAACTAGTGTCGTTGTCCCGGGTTGGCGAGTCAACAACAACAACCGCCACTAAGTGGCGGTGACGTCACCACGGCGATTGTGCCAGGCTAGGTGCACGTTAAGGCCACGTGAAGTGTCGAACGCCCGCTGGCAGGAGGTTACGGGACCCAGGTGCTACGGGTCGACTGAGACTACTGGCTGATGCACCACCTGTGCCCCCTACTGTGCCAACCTGCTGTGCTTTAGCCACCCGGCGCTCCGCTCGTTGTTGTGAGCGTCGCTCCTCCGCCCTCCGTTGTTGTTGGAGGGCGACTGCCTCCAACTGCCCAGTGGCGTCCTTCACGAGCCTCCTCCACAGAGGCCGATCTTGACACCGCTGGTACCAGTCATTGGCAAGTCCACTCTGCTCCACGTCCTCCTGTACCACATCACTCCATCTCTTCTCTAGCCCGTGCCGCGCCCGTGGCGGATCAATACCTGATGACGTCACCACGGCGCCTGTGCCAGGCTAGGTGCACTTTGAGGCCACGTGAAGTGTCGAAGGCTCGCTGACAGGAGGTGTCGGAACAGACCCAGGTGGATCACACACCAGGGATCATTCTTGAATGTTGGCTTGCCCTCTCCTCGCAAGCGACGGGGTTTTTTTACACGCCTCTATTTAACTCGCTCTGTTGTTGTTGTATCCTCAAATCGTGTAACTCAATTTTAACCAACTTCCCAATGTGGTATCGACTGCAAACTCGGTATACTTATGTCATACTGATGACAATACTAGATTCCATCATAAAAAATATATATTTTTCAACATTGTTTTTTTTATATGTTATGTTTCGGCTTGGCTCCAATTGTCCACGCTCAACTCACGTTGGCTGTAGATCACCACGGGCCCCTTACGTTGTGGCAAGCTTCGGGCCCACTTCCTGGAGTCGTGGAATTCTGACATTACTCGTACGGTACATTTCATTAAAGCGTGTTTTTTAAAGAAGTGTGTTTTTTAATAAATATTACTTATTTCGTTTTGTGCCAGATGCTCCCAGAGACATTTCCTCCCCACAGACGCCAACTTGCTGATGATGGGGGTTAGCCACGAACGTCCCCCAAGCGGCGATGGATCAGCAGCGCGCTGAGGCGACAGGCCTTCATCCAGCAGTGGATAGACCACAGCCAGAGGGCCTTCATCCAGCAGTGGATAGACCACAGCGTGAGGGCCTTCATCCAGCAGTGGATAGACCACAGCCAGAGGGCCTTCATCCAGCAGTGGATAGACCACAGCGTGAGGGCCTTCGTCCAGCAGTGGATAGACCACAGCCTGAGGGCCTTCATCCAGCAGTGGATAGACCACAGCGTGAGGGCCTTCATCCAGCAGTGGATAGACCACAGCCTGGGGGCCTTCATCCAGCAGTGGATAGACCACAGCCTGAGGCCTTCATCCAGCAGTGGATAGACCACAGCCTGGGGCCTTCATCCAGCAGTGGATAGACCACAGCGTGAGGGCCTTCATCCAGCAGTGGATAGACCACAGCCAGAGGGCCTTCATCCAGCAGTGGATAGACCACAGCGTGAGGGCCTTCATCCAGCAGTGGATAGACCACAGCGTGAGGGCCTTCATCCAGCAGTGGATAGACCACAGCGTGAGGGCCTTCGTCCAGCAGTGGATACACCACAGCCAGAGGGCCTTCATCCAGCAGTGGATAGACCACAGCCTGGGGGACTTCATCCAGCTGTGGATAGACCACAGCCTGAGGCCTTCATACAGCAGTGGATAGACCACAGCCTGGGGGCCTTCATCCAGCAGTGGATAGACCACAGCGTGAGGGCCTTCATCCAGCAGTGGATAGACCACAGCCAGAGGGCCTTCATCCAGCAGTGGATAGACCACAGCGTGAGGGCCTTCATCCAGCAGTGGATAGACCACAGCCTGAGGCCTTCATCCAGCAGTGGATAGACCACAGCCTGAGGCCTTCATCCAGCAGTGGATAGACCACAGCCAGAGGGCCTTCATCGAGCAATGGATAGACCACAGCCTGAGGGCCTTCATCCAGCATTGGATAGACCACAGTGTGAGGGCCTTTATCCAGCAGTGGATAGACCACAGCCAGAGGCCTTCATCCAGCAGTGGATAGACCACAGCCTGAGGCCTTCATCCAGCAGTGGAAAAACCACAGCCTAAAGGCCTTCATCCAGCAGTGGATAGACCACAGCCTGAGGCCTTCATCCAGCAGTGGATAGACCACAGCCTGAGGCCTTCATCCAGCAGTGGATAGACCACAGCCTGAGGGCCTTCATCCAGCAGTGGATAGACCACAGCCTGAGGCCTTCATCCAGCAGTGGATAGACCACAGCCTGAGGCCTTCATCCAGCAGTGGAAAAACCACAGCCTAAAGGCCTTCATCCAGCAGTGGATAGACCACAGCGTGAGGGCCTTCATCCAGCAGTGGATAGACCACAGCCTGGGGGCCTTCATCCAGCAGTGGATAGACCACAGCCTGAGGCCTTCATCCAGCAGTGGATAGACCACAGCCTGGGGCCTTCATCCAGCAGTGGATAGACCACAGCGTGAGGGCCTTCATCCAGCAGTGGATAGACCACAGCCAGAGGGCCTTCATCCAGCAGTGGATAGACCACAGCGTGAGGGCCTTCATCCAGCAGTGGATAGACCACAGCGTGAGGGCCTTCATCCAGCAGTGGATAGACCACAGCGTGAGGGCCTTCGTCCAGCAGTGGATACACCACAGCCAGAGGGCCTTCATCCAGCAGTGGATAGACCACAGCCTGGGGGACTTCATCCAGCTGTGGATAGACCACAGCCTGAGGCCTTCATACAGCAGTGGATAGACCACAGCCTGGGGGCCTTCATCCAGCAGTGGATAGACCACAGCGTGAGGGCCTTCATCCAGCAGTGGATAGACCACAGCCAGAGGGCCTTCATCCAGCAGTGGATAGACCACAGCGTGAGGGCCTTCATCCAGCAGTGGATAGACCACAGCCTGAGGCCTTCATCCAGCAGTGGATAGACCACAGCCTGAGGCCTTCATCCAGCAGTGGATAGACCACAGCGTGAGGGCCTTCATCCAGCAGTGGATAGACCACAGCCAGAGGGCCTTCATCGAGCAATGGATAGACCACAGCCTGAGGGCCTTCATCCAGCATTGGATAGACCACAGTGTGAGGGCCTTTATCCAGCAGTGGATAGACCACAGCCAGAGGCCTTCATCCAGCAGTGGATAGACCACAGCCTGAGGCCTTCATCCAGCAGTGGAAAAACCACAGCCTAAAGGCCTTCATCCAGCAGTGGATAGACCACAGCCTGAGGCCTTCATCCAGCAGTGGATAGACCACAGCCTGAGGCCTTCATCCAGCAGTGGATAGACCACAGCCTGAGGGCCTTCATCCAGCAGTGGATAGACCACAGCCTGAGGCCTTCATCCAGCAGTGGATAGACCACAGCCTGAGGCCTTCATCCAGCAGTGGATAGACCACAGCCTGAGGCCTTCATCCAGCAGTGGATAGACCACAGCCTGAGGGCCTTCAATCAGCAGTGGATAGACCACAGTGTGAGGGCCTTCATCCAGCAGTGGATAGACCACAGCCTGAGGCCTTCATCCAGCAGTGGATAGACCACAGCCAGAGGGCCTTCAATCAGCAGTGGATAGACCACAGTGTGAGGGCCTTCATCCAGCAGTGGATAGACCACAGCCAGAGGGCCTTCATCCAGCAGTGGATAGACCACAGCCTGAGGCCTTCATCCAGCAGTGGATAGACCACAGCCTGAGGGCCTTCATCCAGCAGTGGATAGACCACAGCCTGAGGCCTTCATCCAGCAGTGGATAGACCACAGCCTGAGGCCTTCATCCAGCAGTGGATAGACCACAGCCTGAGGCCTTCATCCAGCAGTGGATAGACCACAGCCTGAGACCTTCATCCAGCAGTGGATAGACCACAGCCTGAGGCCTTCATCCAGCAGTGGATAGACCACAGCCTGAGGCCTTCATCCAGCAGTGGATAGACCACAGCCTGAGGCCTTCATCCAGCAGTGGATAGACCACAGCCTGAGGGCCTTCATCCAGCAGTGGATAGACCACAGCCAGAGGGCCTTCATCCATCAATGGATAGACCACAGCCTGAGGGCCTTCATCCAGCATTGGATAGACCACAGTGTGAGGGCCTTTATCCAGCAGTGGATAGACCACAGCCAGAGGCCTTCATCCAGCAGTGGATAGACCACAGCCTGAGGGCCTTCATCCAGCAGTGGATAGACCACAGCCTGAGGCCTTCATCCAGCAGTGGATAGACCACAGCCAGAGGGCCTTCATCCAGCAGTGGATAGACCACAGCCTGAGGGCCTTCATCCAGCAGTGGATAGACCACAGCCTGAAGGCCTTCATCCAGCAGTGGATAGACCACAGCCAGAGGGCCTTCATCCAGCAGTGGATAGACCACAGCCTGAGGCCTTCACCCAGCAGTGGATAGACCACAGCCTGAGGCCTTCATCCAGCAGTGGATAGACCACAGCCTGAAGGCCTTCATCCAGCAGTGGATAGACCACAGCCCGAGGCCTTCATCCAGCAGTGGATAGACCACAGCCAGAGGGCCTTCATCCAGCAGTGGATAGACCACAGCCTGAGGCCTTCATCCAGCAGTGGATAGACCACAGCCTGAGGGCCTTCATCCAGCAGTGGATAGACCACAGCCAGAGGGCCTTCATCCAGCAGTGGATAGACCACAGCCTGAGGCCTTCATCCAGCAGTGGATAGACCACAGCCTGAGGCCTTCATCCAGCAGTGGATAGACCACAGCCAGAGGGCCTTCAATCAGCAGTGGATAGACCACAGTGTGAGGGCCTTCATCCAGCAGTGGATAGACCACAGCCTGAGGGCCTTCATCCAGCAGTGGATAGACCACAGCCTGAGGCCTTCATCCAGCAGTGGATAGACCACAGCCTGAGGGCCTTCATCCAGCAGTGGATAGACCACAGCCTGAGGCCTTCATCCAGCAGTGGATAGACCACAGCCTGAGGCCTTCATCCAGCAGTGGATAGACCACAGCCTGAGGCCTTCATCCAGCAGTGGATAGACCACAGCCTGAGACCTTCATCCAGCAGTGGATAGACCACAGCCTGAGGCCTTCATCCAGCAGTGGATAGACCACAGCCTGAGGCCTTCATCCAGCAGTGGATAGACCACAGCCTGAGGCCTTCATCCAGCAGTGGATAGACCACAGCCTGAGGGCCTTCATCCAGCAGTGGATAGACCACAGCCAGAGGGCCTTCATCCAGCAATGGATAGACCACAGCCTGAGGGCCTTCATCCAGCATTGGATAGACCACAGTGTGAGGGCCTTTATCCAGCAGTGGATAGACCACAGGCAGAGGCCTTCATCCAGCAGTGGATAGACCACAGCCTGAGGGCCTTCATCCAGCAGTGGATAGACCACAGCCTGAGGCCTTCATCCAGCAGTGGATAGACCACAGCCAGAGGGCCTTCATCCAGCAGTGGATAGACCACAGCCTGAGGGCCTTCATCCAGCAGTGGATAGACCACAGCCTGAAGGCCTTCATCCAGCAATGGATAGACCACAGCCATAGGGCCTTCATCCAGCAGTGGATAGACCACAGCCTGAGGCCTTCACCCAGCAGTGGATAGACCACAGCCTGAGGCCTTCATCCAGCAGTGGATAGACCACAGCCTGAGGGCCTTCATTCAGCAATGGATAGACCACAGCCAGAGGGCCTTCATCCAGCAGTGGATAGACCACAGCCTGAGGCCTTCATCCAGCAGTGGATAGACCACAGCCTGAGGGCCTTCATCCAGCAGTGGATAGACCACAGCCAGAGGGCCTTCATCCAGCAATGGATAGACCACAGCCTGAGGGCCTTCATCCAGCATTGGATAGACCACAGTGTGAGGGCCTTTATCCAGCAGTGGATAGACCACAGCCAGAGGCCTTCATCCAGCAGTGGATAGACCACAGCCTGAGGGCCTTCATCCAGCAGTGGATAGACCACAGCCTGAGGCCTTCATCCAGCAGTGGATAGACCACAGCCTGAGGCCTTCATCCAGCAGTGGATAGACCACAGCCTGAGGCCTTCATCCAGCAGTGGATAGACCACAGCCTGAGGGCCTTCAATCAGCAGTGGATAGACCACAGTGTGAGGGCCTTCATCCAGCAGTGGATAGACCACAGCCTGAGGCCTTCATCCAGCAGTGGATAGACCACAGCCAGAGGGCCTTCAATCAGCAGTGGATAGACCACAGTGTGAGGGCCTTCATCCAGCAGTGGATAGACCACATCCTGAGGGCCTTCATCCAGCAGTGGATAGACCACAGCCTGAGGCCTTCATCCAGCAGTGGATAGACCACAGCCTGAGGGCCTTCATCCAGCAGTGGATAGACCACAGCCTGAGGCCTTCATCCAGCAGTGGATAGACCACAGCCTGAGGCCTTCATCCAGCAGTGGATAGACCACAGCCTGAGGCCTTCATCCAGCAGTGGATAGACCACAGCCTGAGACCTTCATCCAGCAGTGGATAGACCACAGCCTGAGGCCTTCATCCAGCAGTGGATAGACCACAGCCTGAGGCCTTCATCCAGCAGTGGATAGACCACAGCCTGAGGCCTTCATCCAGCAGTGGATAGACCACAGCCTGAAGGCCTTCATCCAGCAGTGGATAGACCAGTGTGAGGGCCTTCATCCAGCAGTGGATAGACCACAGCCTGAGGGCCTTCATTCAGCAATGGATAGACCACAGCCAGAGGGCCTTCATCCAGCAGTGGATAGACCACAGCCAGAGGGCCTTCATCCAGCAGTGGATAGACCACAGCCTGAGGGCCTTCATCCAGCAGTGGATAGACCACAGCCTAAAGGCCTTCATCCAGCAGTGGATAGACCACAGCCAGAGGGCCTTCATCCAGCAGTGGATAGACCACAGCCTGAGGCCTTCACCCAGCAGTGGATAGACCACAGCCTGAGGCCTTCATCCAGCAGTGGATAGACCACAGCCTGAGGGCCTTCATTCAGCAATGGATAGACCACAGCCAGAGGGCCTTCATCCAGCAGTGGATAGACCACAGCCAGAGGGCCTTCATCCAGCAGTGGATAGACCACAGCCTGAGGGCCTTCATCCAGCAGTGGATAGACCACAGCCTGAAGGCCTTCATCCAGCAGTGGATAGACCACAGCCAGAGGGCCTTCATCCAGCAGTGGATAGACCACAGCCTGAGGCCTTCACCCAGCAGTGGATAGACCACAGCCTGAGGCCTTCATCCAGCAGTGGATAGACCACAGCCTGAAGGCCTTCATCCAGCAGTGGATAGATCACAGCCTGAGGCCTTCATCCAGCAGTGGATAGACCACAGCCAGAGGGCCTTCATCCAGCAGTGGATAGATCACAGCCTGAAGGCCTTCATCCAGCAGTGGATAGACCACAGTGTGAGGGCCTTCATCCAGCAGTGGATAGACCACAGCCTGAGGCCTTCATCCAGCAGTGGATAGACCACAGCCAGAGGGCCTTCATCCAGCAGTGGATAGACCACAGCCTGAGGCCTTCATCCAGCAGTGGATAGACCACAGCCTGAGGCCTTCATCCAGCAGTGGATAGACCACAGCCTGAGGCCTTCATCCAGCAGTAGATAGACCACAGCCTGAGGCCTTCATCCAGCAGTGGATAGACCACAGCCTGAGGCCTTCATCCAGCAGTGGATAGACCACAGCCTGAGGCCTTCATCCAGCAGTGGATAGACCACAGCCTGAGGCCTTCATCCAGCAGTGGATAGACCACAGCCTGAGGCCTTCATCCAGCAGTGGATAGACCACAGCGTGAGGGCCTTCATCCAGCAGTGGATAGACCACAGCCAGAGGGTCTTCATCCAGCAGTGGATAGACCACAGCCTGAAGGCCTTCATCCAGCAGTGGATAGACCAGTGTGAGGGCCTTCATCCAGCAGTGGATAGACCACAGCCTGAGGGCCTTCATTCAGCAATGGATAGACCACAGCCAGAGGGCCTTCATCCAGCAGTGGATAGACCACAGCCAGAGGGCCTTCATCCAGCAGTGGATAGACCACAGCCTGAGGGCCTTCATCCAGCAGTGGATAGACCACAGCCTGAAGGCCTTCATCCAGCAGTGGATAGACCACAGCCAGAGGGCCTTCATCCAGCAGTGGATAGACCACAGCCTGAGGCCTTCACCCAGCAGTGGATAGACCACAGCCTGAAGGCCTTCATCCAGCAGTGGATAGACCACAGCCTGAGGCCTTCATCCAGCAGTGGATAGACCACAGCCAGAGGGCCTTCATCCAGCAGTGGATAGATCACAGCCTAAAGGCCTTCATCCAGCAGTGGATAGACCACAGCCTGAGGGCCTTCATCCAGCAGTGGATAGACCACAGCCTGAGGCCTTCATCCAGCAGTGGATAGACCACAGCCTGAGGGCCTTCATCCAGCAGTGGATAGACCACAGTGTGAGGGCCTTCATCCAGCAGTGGATAGACCACAGCCTGAAGGCCTTCATCCAGCAGTGGATAGACCACAGCCTGAGGCCTTCATCCAGCAGTGGATAGACCACAGCCAGAGGGCCTTCATCCAGCAGTGGATAGACCACAGCCTGAGGGCCTTCATCCAGCAGTGGATAGACCACAGCCTGAGGGCCTTCATCCAACAGTGGATAGACCACAGCCTGAGGCCTTCATCCAGCAGTGGATAGACCACAGCCTGAGGGCCTTCATCCAGCAGTGGATAGACCACACCCTGAAGGCCTTTCATCCAGCAGTGGATAGACCACAGCCTGGGGGCCTTCATCCAGCAGTGGATAGACCAGTGTGAAGGCCTTCATCCAGCAGTGGATAGACCACAGTGTGAAGGCCTTCATCCAGCAGTGGATAGAGCACACCCTGAGGGGCCTTCATCCATACAGTGGATAGAGCACAGCCTGAGGCCTTCATCCAGCAGTGGATAGACCACAGCGTGAGGGCCATAAGAATAAAATGAAAATAACGACAATTACAACAATAACGACTAAAATAACAACAATAACGACAACAATAATAACAACAATAATAACAATAATAACAACAATACCTTCGCCTCGCCGCTCCACTTTGCGTGCAGGAAGACGACCTTTTGTCTCGGGTTGTCGTTTAAGACCCGGACGAGTTTGAATCCGCGGAGCGAGGTAAACGTCTCCCCCGCCGAGGCGACCACTTTGCGCTTCTTCTTCTTCTGCTGCTGCTGCGCGGCGTCGTCGGCGTCGGCGGCGGCTGCTGCTGCTGAGTTCCCCTCCTCAGGAAGAGACGAAGTCGAAGGCGACGCGGCCGCCATTTCACCCGCCCAGCCGCCGCGAGATTATTTCCCGCCAAAAGCGCGAGCGCGTCCATTACCCCTCCCCCCACTCAACGCCACCAACAGGGTGGTGGTGGTGGCGGTGTTCCGATTTAAAGCTTTCGTGACTGCAAGGATTCATCTTCTTTGGTTCCTTCGGTAAAGTCACCACGTAGAATGAGAATAAAATAATACATTGATAAAATAAAATTACATTATTAGTGTTATTTTATCAAGTTATTATTTTATTCTCATTCTAAAATAACATTATTAGTGTTATTTTATCAAGTTATTATTTTATTCTCATTCTAAAATAACATTAGTGTTATTTTATTTTATCAAGTTATTATTTTATTCTCATTCTACGTGACTTTACCGAAAGAACCATTATTAGTGTTATTTTATTTTATCAAGTTATTATTTTTACCGAAAGAACCAAAGAAGGGTGGTGGTGGTAGGTTTGATGTTAAAAAAAGAAATATCGACACAATTACGCGTGAAAGATGGATTATGTGAGGGGAAACCTACTGCCCGCTTGGTTTTGTTATTTGTATGTTCGAACGTTTATTTTATATTTTAGCCCGATTATGAAGTGACGTCGGGCACTCGGCGGCCATCTTGCGTAGGGGGAAGGTGGAGTGACGCGTCGATGTAGAGCCATGGCATTGGATGACGTCATGGACGGTAACATCCGGCGGCCATCTTGCGTAGGGGGAATGTAGAGTGACGCGCCGGGGATGCGGTGTCCCAAGTATGGGGTGACGTCACGCCGTGCCCTGTATGACTCATTACCCCGTAGTAACATGGCCAACTAACAGTCGGTCCTCGACTTACGAACACTCGACTTACGAACACCAGCTTCCGCGAACTTTTATTTTAACATCGACTTAAAACGGCTTGCACATTGAACCACGGAACTGTTTTGTTCAGCTCTGCGATCCTCCGCGCGATGTTAACGAGTCGGCCTCGTGCTGGGAGTGTGAGCATTTTAAATAAACGGGTAACCAGGAACGAATTATGTTCGTAAGTCGATGACTGATGGGAACTTTTGTTGCCAGCATCAATAGGGTCCCGTACCCTTTATGGCCATAAAACAGCTGCGTAAAGATTTTAAGCTTTCGAAACTACAGGAATCCATACGCTTTGGTTATTTCGGTAAAGTCACGTGGGTGACTTTTTTTACATTCACGTGAGACTTTACCGCTAGAACGAACGAGTGTGTAGGTGATAAGGCGTTGTGAGGAATTAAGTCTGCATTAGCCGCATGAAACCTATTCTGAATCGTTATACTTTGATTCGGGCCAAAGAAAGTATCCCACCACGATGCAGCTGCTCACGCCGACCTATGAATGCTCTGAGGGGCCGTCCATAAATGACGTCACGCGATTTTTTAACCCCCCCCCCTCCTCGTCACACGGCGTCACAAAAAGTCAGACCCCCCCCCCCCCCCCCTCAAATATGACGTCACAAAGCTCTGCCCCCCCCTCCTCCCCAAAACCATATTTCCATTTTGAAAATAAAAGATGCTTCAAATCGCTTTAAACTATCGTTGTCATTGTAGTGCGTATTTAATGTGGCCACTGCACTCTGATGTTGTAGGAGTGGTGTTATAACGATTCTATATTTATTGAAAGTTGCGCATTTTGATATGACGTCACATTTCTCAAACCCCCCCCCCCTCGTCACACGGCGTCACAAATGTCTGACCCCGCCCCCCAGGCGCGTGACGTCATTTATGGACGGCCCCTGATCAGTGTGGCATTATCCTTGTGCTGTTCGCCTATTAAGTGTTCCCTGGTCTGACACTGGCGGTGAGAGGCTGGGGGGGGTTTCTTTGGGCCGAAGCCTGCAGATGTTAACGACCTTGAAGAGGGGGGGCGGACTAATCGAGTCGTCATTAAAGGCGGTGGTTGCCAGCCCGTGCAAGGCTCTAACACAATTCTCCTGCGGAGGGAGCTGGTAGGAACGTCGGGTTGCTCGGTCAATGGCCAGGGTCAACAGCGGCGGCACCACGTGGTGGTGTATTCAGCACAATATGCCCGACTGTGAGGGGCGGGCACAAGCCGGCGTGAGTAGGTTACACGTTGAGTTTTATAAGGGCACCACGGGGTGACCAGCTCCTCCCCACCCAGCCCCTCCCCTCCCCTCCCTCCCCACCCTCCCCTCCCCACCCTCCCCGCTCCACCCTCCCCACCCAGCCCCTCCCTCCCCACCCTCCCCTCCCCTCCCCACCCAGCCCCACCCTCCCCGCTCCACCCAGCCCCTCCCCACCCTCCCCTCCCCACCCAGCCCCACCCTCCCCGCTCCACCCAGCCCCTCCCCACCCTCCCCACCCTCCCCGCTCCACCCAGCCCCACCCTCCCCACCCAGCCCCACCCTCCTCACCCTCCCCTCTCCACCCAGCCCCACCCCTCCCATTTTTGTATGCACGACGGACGGACGGACACAATAATCCCCTGTGGGCTGGTGGTGGTGGTGGTCTAACAACCAGGAGGTTCCTACACAGTAAAAACGGAGTCAGAAGTCTCTCGAACTCCTCGAAGCCCGTGGGCTGACGTGGTCACGTGGTGGGGGTTCGGGTGAGCACCCTCAACAATTCGCAGTCCAAACATGTGGGCAGTTCACCCTGCTGCTGATGAGACACTGCATGTGGAAGCCGGTACCTGCATATAAACAACTCCCCCACCCCTAAACCTGCTGATGATGATTTTGATCAAAGGATGTGAAACTGACATAAATGCTGCTGATGATATTGATAATGCTGCTGATGATATTGATAATGCTGCTGATGCCGATGATGATATTGATGACACCACACCTGGGTTCGAGTCCCGGGGTCCCGGGTGTCTCTCTCGGTGGGTCCACGAGACAGCAACGAGGCGACCGTTATCGAGACACTACAAAAACTACAACAACTATTGTTATTATTATAATTTCAAGCATTTTGCACTCGGCAATGAAATCACAAACCACAACGTTTATACGGCAATCATAATAATCATAACAGCAACAATAATCATATCGTCGTAATCATAATAACGTCACCACACGTTTAAGAATAGGACGTGAAACAACTCTTTACATGATGGGTTTCGTGAAATGACAATTATACAGCGTGCGCACGATTGGTGTAGAACGGTAGTGTGGTAGTGTGTGTGTGCAGTAGTGTGTGGTAGTGGGTGTGTGGTAGTGGGTGTGTGTAGTAGTGTGTATGTGTGTGGTAGTGTGTGCAGTAGTGTGTGGTAGTGGGTGTGTGTAGTAGTGTGTGTGTGTAGGAGTGTGTGTGTGGTAGTGGGTGTGTGTGTGGTAGTGTGTGTGTGTGTGGTAGTGTGTGCAGTAGTGTGTGGTAGTGGGTGTGTGGTAGTGGGTGTGTGTAGTAGTGTGTGTGTGTGGTAGTGTGTGTGTGTGGTAGTGGGTGTGTGTGGTAGTGTGTGTGTAGTAGTGTGTGTGTGTGGTAGTGGGTGTGTGTGGTAGTGTGTGTGTGTGTGGTAGTGTGTGCAGTAGTGTGTGGTAGTGGGTTTGTGTGGTAGTGGGAGTGTGTGGTAGTGTGTGTGTGTGTGGTAGTGTGTGCAGTAGTGTGTGGTAGTGGGTGTGTGGTAGTGGGTGTGTGTGTGTGGTAGTGTGTGCAGTAGTGTGTGGTAGTGCATGTGTGTGGTAGTGTGTGGTAGTGGGTGTGTGTGGTAGTGTGTGCAGTAGTGTGTGGTAGTGCGTGTGTGGTAGTGTGTGTGTGTGGTAGTGGGTATGTCTGTGTGGTAGTGTGTGTGTGGTAGTGGGTGTGTGTGTGGTAGTGTGTGTGTGTGGTAGTGGGTATGTGTGTGTGGTAGTGTGTGTGTGGTAGTGTGTGTGTGGTAGTGTGTGTGTGGTAGTGTGTGCGTGTGGTAGTGTATTGTGGGGAGCGATAGTGTAGCGGTTAGCGCGCTGCGCTATGAACCTGGCGACCCGGGTTCGATTCCTGCTCACGGCCAACACCAGTGACGATTATCTGAACCGGTCCCGGGCCTCCCTTAGGTCGACTCAGCCTCAAATGAGTACCTGGTGCGGTGTGTAAACATTGCCACTAGGGAGACAAAGGCGGTCGGGCGTGGTGCTGGCCACCCACCCCCTCGTGCACCGTTCCGGCCTTCATAGGTGCTCGCTAACAGCACTTGCCCCTACAGTCTGTTAGGCTATATGGAGGATCTTTGTGCGTGGTAGTGTGCGTGGTAGTGTGCGTGGTAGTGTGCGTGGTAGTGTGCGTGGTAGTGTGCGTGGTAGTGTGTGTGGTAGTGCCATATTTTCTGTCCGTCTGCTACAGCAGAGGTGTAGGGAATTCCAACAAGACCTACATCTCTGCTTTATTGACCTGGTCAAGGCCTATGATACCATCAGTAGGCCTGGGCTCTGGGTTGTTCTTCGTGCTTTTGGAGTACCTGACCCTCTGCTCACGATCATTAAGGACCTTCATGATGGTGAGCGGGCCCGGGTAAAACTACGTGGCTGGGAGTCAGAGCCATTCCCTGTACACCTCGGGGTGCGACAGGGATGTCCTCTGGCTCCCACATTATTTAACATCTATTTTGACCACGTAGTTTGTGAAGCCTTCAATAGCTGTACCGGGGGAATCTCCATATGGTACAGATATAATGGGAGGCTGATCAATGCCCGGGTGCGGTCAAGGGATGGCTCCCTATTGCTCAACCACGTTATGTATGCTGATGATTTGGTAATAGCTGCTCATTCAGAGGAGGAGTTGGAGACGCTGCTGCTGAGACTGGAGCGTGCCACTAAGAGGTGGGGCCTTACCATCAGCCCCACCAAAACTAAGCACCTGCCTGGGTTTTTTGTACCATCGGACACTCCACCCCCACAACTCCCAATCGGTGATGGGGCAGTTGTGGAGAGAGTGGAGAGTTTCCCATACCTGGGCAGTGTTCTTATGACTGGCTCCAGTTTAACAGCAGAGGTCTCACTCCGAATCAGTCGAGCGGCAATATATTTTCATCGGTTGCGTAACGCTGTGTGGAAGCTACCTGGTCTGTCGCTCCGCACTAAGCTTCAGGTCTTCTCGGCCACGGTCATTCCCTCCCTTCTCTACGCTTGCGAAACGTGGACCCCCCCTAATGGAACATCTTCGCCGGTTAGAAACATTTAGGCTGGCCTGCCTACGATCCATCCTGGGTTTAACCAGACTGGATTGTGTGAGCTCACAAATCCTTGAAAGATCTGGGCAAGGTCCCATCGGTGAGCTCCTCCGGTGGGCAAGGCTGCGATGGCTGGGTCATGTAGCCCGCATGCCCAGCCACCGCCTGCCGAAACAGCTTTTGTTCGGCCGGATTGAGGGGGCTAAGCGGGCGCGGCACGGGCTAGAGAAAAGATGGAGTGACGTGGTACAGGAGGACGTGGAGCTGAGTGGACTTGCCGATGACCGGTACCAGCGGTGTCAAGATCGGCCTCTGTGGAGGAGGCTCGTGAAGGACGCTACTGGGCAGTTGGAGGCAGTCGCCCTCCAACAACAATGGAGGGCGGAGGAGCAACGCTCACAATAACGAGCGGAGCGCCGGGTGGCTAAAGCACAGCAGGTTGGCAAAGTAGGGGGCACAGGTGGTGCATCAGCCCGTCATCTCAGTCAGTCGACCCGTGGCACCTGGGTCTGCCCCGTGACCTCCTGCCAGCGGGCGTTCGACACTCCACGTGGCCTCAATGTGCACATGGCCTGGCACAAGCATCGTGGTGATGTCACCGCCACTTAGTGGCGAATGGCGGTTTTTGTTGTTGTTTGTGTGTGTGGTAGTGTGTGTGGTAGTGTGTGTGTGTGGTAGTGTGTGTGGTGGTAGTGTGTGTGTGAGTGTGTGTGAGTGTGTGTGTGTGGTAGTGTGTGTGTGTGTTCTATAGTGTACAGCTCCAGTGAATTCCTAATAACGGGAGGCCAACCACGGCATGTACGCCGCTGCCGCTGCTGCTGATCGTCTCGCGACTGCTGCTCACTCGGAGGAGATGGACGCTGCGCCTGGAGCTTGCCATTCAGAGATGGGGCCTTGCCCTCAGTCTCACTCGAACTCCCATGAGTGGCGGGGCAGTTGTGCAGAGGGTGGAGAGTTGCCCATACCTGGGCAGTGTCCTCATGAGCAGTCAGCCAGCCCATGGCACCTGCAGGGTCTGTCCCGTGACCTCCTCCTGTCAGCAGAGAGCCTTCGACACTTCACATGAGAGCCTCGGCGTGCACCTAGCCTGGCACAGGAGCCCTGTGGTGACGCTGTTCTTGTTATATGTATGAATCTTAGTGGGTGTGTAGTTGCGAGTGTGTACGTGTGTGTGTGTGTGTACGTGTGTGTGTGTGTACATGTGTGTGTACGTGTGTGTACGTGTGTGTGTGTACATATGTGTGTGTGTACATGTGTGTGTGTGTACATGTGTGTGTGTGTCAGTGCTGGGTGTTAGCGGCCGGGTGTGTGTGAGGGTGAGTTGGCTCTCATCTCGTCAAACAGTGGGTTGTTCACTTCCATCTCCCCAGTCTGTGACACGGACACACACACACACGCACCATCACCACCATCACCACCTTCACCACTACCATCACCACAACAACAACATCATCACCACCATCACCACTACCATTACCACAACAACAACATCATCACCACCATCACCACAACAACAACATCACCACTACCATCACCACAACAACATCATCACCACCATCACCACAACAACAACATCACACACCACCATCACCACTACCATTATCACAACAACAACAACATCATCACCACCATCACCACAACAACAACATCACCACTACCATCACCACAACAACAACATCATCACCACCATCACCACAGCAACAACATCACACACCACCATCACCACTACCATTACCACAACAACATCATCACCATCATCACCACAACAACATCACCACTACCATCACCACAACAACAACATCATCACCACCATCACCACAACAACGACATCATCACCACCATCACCACAGCGACAATATCACCACCATCACCACAGCAAGGACATCATCGCCATCACCACAGGAATACATCACCACCACCATCACGACCATCACCGCGGCAACAAATCACCACCATCACCACCACAGCAACAACATCACCACCATCACCACAGCGACAATATCACCACCATCACCGCAGCAGTATTACCATTACTGCACCAACACCATCACCACCATCACCGCAGAAAAAAAAAAACATCACCACTGCAACATCACCATTACCACACCGCCACCATCACCACGACCATCACAACGGCAACAACATCACCACCATCACCACAGTAACAACATCACCACCATTACCACGGCAACAACATCACCACTACCATCACCACAGCAAAAACATCAGCATCACTACACCGCCACCATCACCACGGCCCCACCACCCTCTCACCGGCGCGAGGCCGGGGCACTCGTACACGGTGATGTCCCCCTCCTCGTTCTCCGAGTCGGTGAGCGAGTTGGGGGTCTGCGACTCCTCCGTCTCCCTGCGGGACAGACGGCAGTGTGGCCGTGAGTGCACTCAGTCTTGTCTCTGTGTGTCTCAGTGTGTCTCTGTGTGTCTGTCTCTGTGTGTCTGTCTCTGTGTGTCTGTCTCTGTGTGTCTGTCTCTGTGTGTCTGTCTCTGTGTGTGTGTCTCTGTGTGTCTGTGTGCCTCTGTGTGTCTGTGTGTCTCTGTGTGCCTCTGTGTGTCTGTGTCTCTGTGTGTCTGTGTGTCTGTGTGTGTCTGTGTGTCTCTGTGTGTGTCTCTGTGTGTGTGTCTCTGTGTGTCTGTGTGTGTGTGTCTGTGTGTCTCTGTGTGTCTCTGTGTGTCTGTGTGTCTCTGTGTGTCTCTGTGTGTCTGTGTGTCTCTGTGTGTCTCTGTGTGTGTGTCTCTGTGTGTGTGTCTCTGTGTGTCTGTGTGTCTGTGTGTCTCCGTGTGTGTCTCTGTGTGTCTGTGTGTCTCTGTGTGTGTCTCTGTGTGTCTGTATGTCTCTGTGTGTCTGTATGTCTGTGTCTGTGTGTCTCAGTGTGTCTATCTCTGTGTGTGTGTGTCTCTGTATGTGTGTCTCTGTGTGTGTGTCTCTGTGTGTGTCTATGTGTCTCTGTGTGTGTGTCTCTGTGTGTGTGTCTGTGTGTCTGTGTGTCTCAGTGTGTCTCTGTGTGTCTGTGTGCCTCTGTGTGTCTCTGTGTGTCTGTGTGTGTCTGTGTGTCTCTGTGTCTGTGCGTCTGTGTGTGTGTGTCTCTGTGTCTGTGTGTCTCAGTGTGTCTGTGTCTCTGTGTCTGTGTGTCTCTGTGTCTGTGTGTCTCTGTGTGTCTGTGTGTCTCTGTGTGTCTGTGTGTCTCTGTGTGTCTGTGTGTCTCTGTGTGTCTGTGTCTCTGTGTGTGTCTGTGTCTCTGTGTGTGTCTGTGTCTCTGTGTCTGTGTGTCTCTGTGTCTGCGTGTCTCTGTGTGTCTGTGTGTCTGTGTGTGTGTCTCTGTGTGTGTGTCTGTGTGTCTCTGTGTGTGTCTCTGTGTGTCTCTGTGTGTCTGTGTGTCTGTGTGTCTCTGTGTGTCTCTGTGTGTCTGTGTGTGTGTGTGTGGGCAGTGTGCTTATGACCGGCTCCAGTTTAACAGCAGAGGTCTGACTCCGAATCAGTCGAGCAGCAATATCTTTTCATCGGTTGCGTAACGCTGTGTGGAAACTAGCTGGTCTGTTGCTCCGCACTAAGCTTCAGGTCTTCTCGGCCACAGTCATTCCCTCCCTTCTCTACGCTTGCGAAACGTGGACCCCCCTAATGGAACATCTTCGCCGGTTAGAAACATTTCTGCTAGCCTGCCTACGATCCATCCTGGTTTTAACCAGACTGGATTGTGTGAGGAGCTCACAAATCCTTGAAAGATCTGGGCAAGGTCCCATCGGTGAGCTCCTCCGGCAGGCAAGGCTGCGTTGGCTGGGTCATGTAGCCCGCATGCCCAGCCACCGCATGCCGAAACAGCTTTTGTTCGGCCGGATCGAGGGGGCTAAACGGGCGCGGCACGGGCTAGAAAAGAGATGGAGTGATGTGGTACAGGAGGACGTGGAGCTGAGTGGACTTGCCGATGACTGGTACCAGCGGTGTCAAGATCGGCCTCTGTAGAGGAGGCTCGTGAAGGACGCTACTGGGCAGTTGGAGGTAGTCGCCCTCCAACAACAACGGAGAGCGGAGGAGCGACGCTCACAACAACGAGCAGAGCGCCGGGCGGCTAAAACAGTGGTGCATCGGCCAGTCCTCTCAGTCAACCCATGGCACCTGAGTCTGTCCTGTGACCTCCTGCCAGCGGGCGTTCGACACTTGACATGGCCGTAACCTGCACATAGCCTGGCACAAGCGCCGTGGTGATGTCACCACCACTTAGTGGCGAATGGCGGTTGTTGTTGTATATGCACACACACACACGTACACCTACCTGTCCATAGCCATAAGCTGCTGTCTCTTCTGCTGGTAGTGATACAGCTGGGCCCTGTGAGCCAGCCTGCTGTCTGCACGCTGTACACACACAAGACAAAGACGGACTCTCTGTATGGCCTTCACAGACACAGAGAGACACACGCTGTACACACTCAGGACACAGACACCAAGAGACACACGCTGTACACGGACAAGACACAGACAGAGAGACACACGCTGTACACGCACAAGACATAGACAGACACACGCTGTACACACACAGGACACAGACACAGAGAGACACACGCTGTACACGCACAGGACACAAACACAGAGAGACACACGCTGTACACACTCAGGACACAGACACAGAGAGACACGCTGTACACGGACAGGACACAGACAGAGAGACACACGCTGTACACGCACAGGACACAGACACAGAGAGACACACGCTGTACACACACAGGACACAGACACAGAGAGACACACGCTGTACACGGACAGGACACAGACAGAGACACACGCTGTACACACACAGGACACAGACACAGAGAGACGCACGCTGTACACACACAAGACAGACACAGAGAGACACACGCTGTACACGCACAGGACACAGACACAGAGAGACACACGCTGTACACACACAGGACACAGACACAGAGAGACACACGCTGTACACACACAGGACACAGACACATAGAGACACACGCTGTACACACACAGGACACAGACACAGAGAGACACACGCTGTACACACACAGGACACAGACACAGAGAGACACACGCTGTACACACACAGGACACAGAGAGACACACGCTGTACACACAGAGGACACAGACACAGAGAGACATGCTGTACACTTACAGGACACATACACAGAGAGACACACGCTGTACACGCACAGGACACAGACACAGAGAGACACACGCTGTACACATACAGGACACAGACACATAGAGACACACGCTGTACACACACAGGACACATACACAGAGAGACACACGCTGTACACACACAGGACACAGACACAGAGAGACACGCTGTACACGCACAGGACACAGACACAGAGAGACACACGCTGTACACACACAGACACAGAGAGACACACGCTGTACACACACAGGACACAGACACAGAGAGACACACGCTGTACACGCACAGGACACAGAGACACACGCTGTACACACACAGGACACAGAGAGACACACGCTGTACACACACAGGACACAGACACAGAGAGACACACGCTGTACACACACAGGACACAGACACATAGAGACACACGCTGTACACACACAGGACACAGACACAGAGAGACACACGCTGTACACGCACAGGACACAGACACAGAGAGACACACGCTGTACACGTACAGGACACAGACACAGAGAGACACACGCTGTACACACACAGGACACAGACACAGAGAGACACACGCTGTACACGGACAGGACACAGACACAGAGAGACACACGCTGTACACACACAGGACACAGACACAGAGAGACACACGCTGTACACACACAGACACAGACACAGAGAGACACACGCTGTACACAGACAGGACACAAACACAGAGAGACACACGCTGTACACGGACAGGACACAGACACAGAGAGACACACGCTGTACACACACAGGACACAGACACAGAGAGACACACGCTGTACACGGACAGGACACAGACACAGAGAGACACACGCTGTACACACACAGGACACAGACACAGAGAGACACACGCTGCACACACACAGGACACAGACACAGAGAGACACACGCTGTACACACACAGGACACAGACACAGAGAGACACACGCTGTACACGGACAGGACACAGACACAGAGAGACACACGCTGTACACACACAGGACACAGACACAGAGAGACACACGCTGTACACGGATAGGACACAGACACAGAGAGACACACGCTGTACACACACAGGACACAGACACAGAGAGACACACGCTGTACACGGACAGGACACAGACACAGAGAGACACACGCTGTACACGGACAGGACACAGACAGAGAGACACACGCTGTACACATACAGGACACAGACACAGAGAGACACACGCTGTACACACACAGGACACAGACACAGAGAGACACACGCTGTACACACACAGGACACAGACACAGAGAGACATAGTGCACCGTAGAGATCTATAGAGAGATGTAACAGCCAAGCCGCAGGAGTGAGTCTGTGGCCGTGCAACCCAAGTGACGGAGCACACAGCCAACGCCACGGCAGTCTGCGCTCCTTCAACGGAGGAGGAGGAACAGCAAAACCACACAAACTCTCACAAACAAGCCGAGGGACATCCCCAGCTGCCACTGGGGGTGCCCCTAGGCTAGAACACGCAGCCACAGCGGTCTCTTCGATGAAACAAGTGCAGGCCAAGTCTGTGAAACACGTCGACTCAATTATGATTTACTCGGAAAAAAACACGACACACACACACACGACACAAACACAACATACTCTTTGGTTCTATTGGGTAAAGTCACGTAGGTGAAAATAAAATAACAAAAAATCACGACGTTTCGGCCACAACACAAGCGGCCTTCATCAAGTGAAGGGACCAGCCTGTCTGGAGGACAGCGCAACACAACACACACACACGACACACACACACACACGACACACAGTACACAACACACACACAACACACACAGTACACAACACACACACACACGACACAACACACACCACACACACAGCACATAACACATGACACACACACGACACACAGTACACAACACACACACACGACACAACACACACCACACACACACACGACACACAGTACACAACACACACACGGCACAACACACACCACACACACGACACACACACGACACACAGTACATAACACACAGCACATAACACACAGCACATAACACACAGCACATAACACACGACACACCACACACACGACACACACAGCACATAACACACGACACACCACACACACGACACACACAGCACATAACACACGACACACCACACACACGACACACCACACACACGACACACCACACACACGACACACCACACACACGACACACCACACACACGACACACCATACACACACACGACACACCACACACACGACACACCACACACACGACACACCACACACACACCACACGACACACGACACACCACACACACGATACAACACACACCACACACACGACACACCACACACACGACACAACACACACCACACACACGACACACACACCACACACACGACACACCACACACACGACACACCACACACACACACCACACACACACGACACACCACACACACCACACACACGACACACCACACACACGACACACCACACACACGACACACCACACACACACCACACAACACACGACACAACACACGACACACCACACACACGACACACACACGACACACCACACACACGACACACACACGACACACCACACCACACACACGACACACACGAAACACGACACACCACACACACGGCACACCACACACACGACACACCACACACACGGCACACCACACACACGACACAACACACACACGACACACCACACACACGACGCACCACACACACGACACACCACACACACGACACACCACACACACGACACACCACACACACGACACACCACACGACACACCACACACACGACACACACACCACACACACGACACACCATACACAACACACGACACACGACACACACACGACACACCACACACACGACACACCACACACACCACACACACCACACACCACACACACGACACACACACGACACACCATACACACACCACACACCACACACACACCACACACACCACACACACCACACCACACACACAGCGGTGATGACCTGCGTACCGGCAGCGTTGGGGGTCTGTGCGAGCCGGGCGAGTGTGCGCTGCACTCCCTGTAGTCTGCCTTCTGCACCATGCCGCCCACACGGTGCAGCCTGCAAAGACAAAGGTCCCCCGCGTAGCCTTCACAAGACTGTCGGGGCAAGTGCTGTTCGAGGCGAGCGGCAGCGCCTATGCAGGCCGGCACGGTGGCACACGAGGGGGCTGGTGGCCAGCAGCACCACGCCCGGCCGCCTTTGTCTCCCCAGTGGCGATGTTTACTACGCACCGCACCAGGTACCCATTTGAGGCTGAGTCGACCTAGGGGAGGCCCAGGATCGATTCAGATAATCGTCACCGGTGTTGGTCGTGAGCGGGAATTTAATTCAAGTCGCTGGGTTCGTAGCGCAGCGTAGCGCTAACCACTGCACTAACGCTCCGCATATATACATACGGTGGTGGCGGTGGTGGAAGTGGTGATGGAGGTGGTGGTGGTGGTGGCGGTGGTGGCGGCAGCAGTTTTGGTGGCGGTTGTGGTGGCGGTGGCGGTAGTGGAAGTGGTGATGGAGGTGGTGGTGGTGGCGGTGGTGGTGGCAGTGGTGGTGGTGGCGGTGGTGGTGGCGGTGGTGGCGGTAGTTTTGGTGGCGGTTGTGGTGGCGGTGGTGGTAGTGGTGGTGGTGGTAGTGGAAGTGGTGATGGAGGTGGTGGTGCTGGTAGTGGTGGTGGTACTGGTGGGGGTGGCAGTGGTGGTGGCGGTGGTGGCGATGGAAGTGGGGATGATGGTGGTGGTGGTTGTTGGCTCACCTGTACCAGCACGCTGCCATGGTTACGAGGGCAGACACCGCCGCCACGGTGCTCACCATCGCCGCCACTGTGCCAGGCACACAAGAGACAAAGGTCACCCAGGTAGCCTTTGACAGATTGTCGGGCCGAGTGCTGTTAGCGAGCATCACCAGCGGTAGCAGCGCTTACGGAAGCCGGCACGGCGCACGAGGAGTAGCGGAGTGGCCGGCACCACCCGAGCCTCCTGTGTCTCCCCAGTGGAGAAGTTTACTGCGCTCCACAGCCGGTACACATTCCAGGCTGAGTCGGACTAGGGGAGGCCCAGGACCGGTTCAAATAATTGTCACTCAACAACAACAACAACAACCACCGCCATTTGGCTCTAAGCGGCGGTGACGTCACCACGGCGCCTGTGCCAGGCTAGGTGCACTCCGAGGCTATCACGTGAAGTGTCGAAGGTTCGCTGACAGGGGGAGGTCACGGGACAGACCCAGCACGTGCCATGGGTTGACTGAGATGACTGGCAGATGCACTACAGCTACACCCCCTACTGTGCCAACCTGCTGTGTTTTAGCCACCCGGCGCTCCGCTCGTTGTTGTGAGCGTCGCTCCTCCGCCCTCCGTTGTTGTTGGAGGGCGACTGCCTCCAACTGCCCAGTAGCGTCCTTCACGAGCCTCCTCCACAGAGGCCGATCTTGACACCGCTGGTACCAGTCTTCAGCAAGTCCACTCAGCTCCACGTCCTCCTGTACCACATCACTCCGTCTCTTCTCTAGCCCGTGCCGCGCTTATTGAGCTCTCTTTAACCGGCCAAACAGAAGTTGCTTGGGCATGCGGTGGCTGGGCATGCGGGCTACATGGCTCAGACAACGCAGCCTCGCCTGCCGGAGCTCACCGTTGTGACTGTGTCCAGATCTTTAAAAGGATGTGACCTCCTCACAAAATCCAGGCTGGTTAAACCCAGGATGGATCGTAGTCAGGCGAGCCTAAATGTTTCTAACCGGCGAACATGTTCCATTCCAGGGGTCCACATAGAGAAGGAAGGGCATGGCCGTGACTGAGAAGACCCGAAGCTTCGTGTGGAGCAATAGAGCCAGGACGCTTCAACACAGCGTTAGTCAGCCGATGAGAAGATAATGGCGTTCGACTGTCGTCCCGACAGTTATGTTCCTTCACCTGAAGAAGGCTACTTGTGTTGTGGCCAAAACGTCGTGATTTTTGTTGTTTTATTTTTTTACCTACGTAACTTTACCGAATAGAACCAAAGAGTATAGCTCGACTGATTTTGTGACTTCTGCTATCAAACCGGAGCTGGTCATGAGCACCCTGCCCAGGTATGGAAACCTCACTCCTTCCACAACAGCCCCATCACGAACGCTCTCTCCCTCTCTGTGTAGAACAGGGGGGAGATCAGACAAACTCCACTCACTCACTCTGTAGAACAGGGGTAGAACACACAAACTCCACTCACTCACTCTGTAGAACAGAGGTAGAACACACAAACTCCACTCACTCGCTATGTAGAACAGGAGTAGAACACACAAACTCCACCCACTCGCTATGTAGAACAGGAGTAGAACACACAAACTCCACTCACTCGCTATGTAGAACAGGAGTAGAACACACAAACTCCACTCACTCTGTAGAACAGGAGTATAACACACAAACTCCACTCACTCTGTAGAACAGGGGGAGATCACACAAACTCCACTCACTCTATAGAACAGGAGTAGAACACACAAACTCCACTCACTCACTCTGTAGAACAGGAGTAGAACACACAAACTCCACTCAATCACTCTGTAGAACACAAAACTCCACTCACTCTGTAGAACAGGAGTAGAACACACAAACTCCACTCACTCACTCTGTAGAACAGGGCTAGAACACACAAACTCCACTCACTCACTCTGTAGAAGAGGAGATCATACAAACTCCACTCACTCTGTAGAACAGGGGGAGATCACACAAACTTCACTCACTCTGTAGAACAGGGGGAGAACACACAAACTCCACTCACTCACTCTGTAGAATAGATCATACAAACTCCACTCACTCTGTAGAAGAGGGGGAGATCACACAAACTTCACTCACTCTGTAGAACAAGGGGAGAACACACAAACTCCACTCACTCACTCTGTAGAACAGAAGAACACACAAACTCCACTCACTCACTCTGTAGAACAGGGGGAGATCATACAAACTCCACTCACTCACTCTGTAGAACAGGGGTAGAACACACAAACTCCACTCACTCACTCACTCTGTAGAACAGGGGGAGAACACACAAACTCCACTCACTCACTCTGTAGAACAGGGGGAGATCACACAAACTCCACTCACTCTTACTCTGTAGAACAGGGGGAGATCACACAAACTCCACTCACTCTTACTGTGTAGAACAGGGGGAGATCACACAAACTCCACTCACTCTTACTGTGTAGAACAGGGGGAGATCACACAAACTCCACTCACTCACTCTGTAGAACAGGAGTAGAACACACAAACTCCACTCACTCACTCTGTAGAACAGGGGGAGAACACACAAACTCCACTCACTCTTACTGTGTAGAACAGGGGGAGATCGCACAAACTCCACTCACTCACTCTGTAGAACAGGGGGAGATCACACAAACTCCACTCACTCACTCTGTAGAACAGGGGGAGATCACACAAACTCCACTCACTCACTCTGTAGAACAGGGGGAGATCACACAAACTCCACTCACTCACTCTATAGAACAGGGGGAGATCACACAAACTCCACTCACTCTATAGAACAGGGGGAGATCACACAAACTCCACTCACTCTGTAGAACAGGGGTAGAACACACAAACTCCACTCACTCACTCTGTAGAACAGGGGTAGAACACACAAGCTCCACTCACTCACTCTGTAGAACAGGGGGAGATCATACAAACTCCACTCACTCACTCTGTAGAACAGGGGTAGAACACACAAACTCCACTCACTCACTCACTCTGTAGAACAGGGGGAGAACACACAAACTCCACTCACTCTGTAGAACAGGGGGAGATCACACAAACTCCACTCACTCACTAGAACAGGGGGAGATCACACAAACTCCACTCACTCTGTAGAACAGGGGGAGATCACACAAACTCCACTCACTCACTAGAACAGGGGGAGATCACACAAACTCCACTCACACTCACTCTGTAGAACAGGGGTAGAACACACAAACTCCACTCACACTCACTCTGTAGAACAGGGGGAGCTCACACAAACTCCACTCACTCACTCTGTAGAACAGGGGGAGATCACACAAACTCCACTCACTCACTCTGTAGAACAGGGGGAGATCACACAAACTCCACTCACTCACTCTGTAGAACAGGGGGAGATCACACAAACTCCACTCACTCACTCTGTAGAACAGGGGGAGATCATACAAACTCCACTCACTCACTCTGTAGAACAGGGAGAGATCACACAAACTCCACTCACTCACTCTGTAGAACAGGGGGAGACCACACAAACTCCACTCCACTCACTCACTAGAACAGGGGGAGATCACACAAACTCCACTCACTCACTAGAACAGGGGGAGATCACACAAACTCCACTCACACTCACTCTGTAGAACAGGGGTAGAACACACAAACTCCACTCACACTCACTCTGTAGAACAGGGGGAGATCACACAAACTCCACTCACTCACTCTGTAGAACAGGGGGAGATCACACAAACTCCACTCACTCACTCTGTAGAACAGGGGGAGATCACACAAACTCCACTCACTCACTCTGTAGAACAGGGGGAGATCACACAAACTCCACTCACTCACTCTGTAGAACAGGGGGAGATCATACAAACTCCACTCACTCACTCTGTAGAACAGGGGGAGATCACACAAACTCCACTCACTCACTCTGTAGAACAGGGGGAGACCACACAAACTCCACTCACTCACTCTGTAGAACAGAGGGAGATCACACAAACTCCACTCACTCACTCTGTAGAACAGGGGGAGATCACACAAACTCCACTCACTCACTCTGTAGAACAGGAGTAGATCACACAAACTCCACTCACTCACTCTGTAGAACAGGGGGAGAACACAAACTCCACTCACTCACTATGTAGAACAGGGGGAGATCACACAAACTCCACTCACTCACTCTGTAGAACAGGGGGAGATCACACAAACTCCACTCACTCTGTAGAACAGGGGGAGATCACACAAACTCCACTCACTCACTCACTAGAACAGGGGGAGATCATACAAACTCCACTCACTCTCTGTAGAACAGGGGGAGATCACACAAACTCCACTCACTCACTCTGTAGAACAGGGGGAGATCATACAAACTCCACTCACTCACTATGTAGAACAGGGGGAGATCACACAAACTCCACTCACTCACTCACTAGAACAGGGGGAGATCACACAAACTCCACTCACTCACTATGTAGAACAGGGGGAGATCACACAAACTCCACTCACTCACTATGTAGAACAGGGGGAGATCACACAAACTCCACTCACTCACTCTGTAGAACAGGGGGAGATCACACAAACTCCACTCACTCACTATGTAGAACAGGAGTAGAGATCACACAAACTCCACTCACTCACTCTGTAGAACAGGGGGAGATCACACAAACTCCACTCACTCACTCACTAGAACAGGGAGAGATCACACAAACTCCACTCACTCACTCTGTAGAACAGGGGTAGATCACACAAACTCCACTCACTCACTCTGTAGAACAGGGGGAGATCACACAAACTCCACTCACTCACTCTGTAGAACAGGGGGAGATCACACAAACTCCACTCACTCTGTAGAACAGGGGGAGATCACACAAACTCCACTCACTCACTCTGTAGAACAGGGGTAGAACACACAAACTCCACTCACTCACTCTGTAGAACAGGGGGAGATCACACAAACTCCACTCACTCTGTAAAACAGGGGGAGAACACACAAACTCCACTCACTCTGTAGAACAGGGGGAGAACACACAAACTCCACTCACTCTGTAGAACAGGGGGAGAACACACAAACTCCACTCACTCTGTAGAACAGGGGGAGATCACACAAACTCCACTCACTCTCTCTGTAGAACAGGAGTAGAGATCACACAAACTCCACTCACTCACTCACTAGAACAGGGGGAGATCACACAAACTCCACTCACTCTGTAGAACAGGGGGAGATCACACAAACTCCACTCACTCTCTCTGTAGAACAGGGGTAGAACACACAAACTCCACTCACTCTGTAGAACAGGGGGAGATCACACAAACTCCACTCACTCTGTAGAACAGGGGGAGATCACACAAACTCCACTCACTCTCTCTGTAGAACAGGGGTAGAACACACAAACTCCACTCACTCTGTAGAACAGGGGGAGATCACACAAACTCCACTCACTCTGTAGAACAGGGGGAGATCACACAAACTCCACTCACTCTCTCTGTAGAACAGGGGTAGAACACACAAACTCCACTCACTCTCTCTGTAGAACAGGAGTAGAGATCACACAAACTCCACTCACTCACTCACTAGAACAGGGGGAGATCACACAAACTCCACTCACTCTGTAGAACAGGGGGAGATCACACAAACTCCACTCACTCTGTAGAACAGGGGGAGATCACACAAACTCCACTCACTCGCTCACTAGAACAGGGGGAGATCACACAAACTCCACTCACTCTCTCTGTAGAACAGGGGGAGATCACACAAACTCCACTCACTCACTCTGTAGAACAGGGGGAGATCATACAAACTCCACTCACTCACTCTGTAGAACAGGGGTAGAACACACAAACTCCACTCACTCTGTAGAACAGGGGTAGAACACACAAACTCCACTCACTCTGTGGAACAGTGGGAGATCACACAAACTCCACTCACTCACTCTGTAAAACAGGAGTAGAGATCACACAAACTCCACTCACTCTGTAGAACAGGGGGAGATCACACAAACTCCACTCACTCACTCTGTAGAACAGGGGGAGATCACACAAACTCCACTCACTCACTCTGTAGAACAGGGGGAGATCACACAAACTCCACTCACTCACTCTGTAGAACAGGGGGAGATCATACAAACTCCACTTACTCACTGTAGAACAGGGGGAGATCACACAAACTCCACTCACTCTGTAGAACAGGGGGAGATCACACAAACTCCACTCACTCTCTCTGTAGAACAGGGGTAGAACACACAAACTCCACTCACTCTCTCTGTAGAACAGGAGTAGAGATCACACAAACTCCACTCACTCACTCACTAGAACAGGGGGAGATCACACAAACTCCACTCACTCTGTAGAACAGGGGGAGATCACACAAACTCCACTCACTCTGTAGAACAGGGGGAGATCACACAAACTCCACTCACTCGCTCACTAGAACAGGGGGAGATCACACAAACTCCACTCACTCTCTCTGTAGAACAGGGGGAGATCACACAAACTCCACTCACTCACTCTGTAGAACAGGGGGAGATCATACAAACTCCACTCACTCACTCTGTAGAACAGGGGTAGAACACGCAAACTCCACTCACTCTGTAGAACAGGGGTAGAACACACAAACTCCACTCACTCTGTGGAACAGTGGGAGATCACACAAACTCCACTCACTCACTCTGTAAAACAGGAGTAGAGATCACACAAACTCCACTCACTCTGTAGAACAGGGGGAGATCACACAAACTCCACTCACTCACTCTGTAGAACAGGGGGAGATCACACAAACTCCACTCACTCACTCTGTAGAACAGGGGGAGATCACACAAACTCCACTCACTCTGTAGAACAGGAGTAGAGATCACACAAACTCCACTCACTCACTCTGTAGAACAGGGGGAGATCACACAAACTCCACTCACTCACTCTGTAGAACAGGGGGAGATCACACAAACTCCACTCACTCTGTAGAACAGGGGGAGATCATACAAACTCCATTCACTCACTCTGTAGAACAGGGGGAGACCACACAAACTCCACTCACTCTGTAGAACAGGGGGAGACCACACAAACTCCACTCACTCACTCTGTAGAACAGGGGGAGATCACACAAACTCCACTCACTCACTCTGTAGAACAGGGGGAGATCACACAAACTCCACTCACTCACTCTGTAGAACAGGGGGAGATCATACAACCTCCACTCACTCACTCTGTAGAACAGGGGGAGATCATACAAACTCCATTCACTCACTCTGTAGAACAGGGGGAGATCACACAAACTCCACTCACTCACTCTGTAGAACAGGGGGAGATCATACAAACTCCATTCACTCACTCTGTAGAACAGGGGGAGATCACACAAACTCCACTCACTCACTCTGTAGAACAGGGGGAGATCACACAAACTCCACTCACTCACTCTGTAGAACAGGGGGAGATCACACAAACTCCACTCACTCACTAGAACAGGGGGAGATCACACAAACTCCACTCACTCACTCTGTAGAACAGGGGGAGATCACACAAACTCCACTCACTCACTAGAACAGGGGGAGATCACACAAACTCCACTCACTCGCTCACTAGAACAGGTCAGCCCCGGTTGACTCACCCAGCAGCAGGGGGCTCACGCCACTCGCCGACTTGGACGCCGCCAGCCTCCCCGCCACCGTGCCGAGAGGCTTCGAGGTTTCCGGTCCCAGGTCGTCCGATTTGTCTCCTCCGACCGTCGTCGTCGCCACCACCTCCTCCTCCTCCTCGTGGTCGTCGTCTTTCCTCGTCGTGCTGGCGATGTCCCCCCCGACATCCGATCCTCCTCCTCCTCCTCCTCTTCCTCCTCCTCCTCCTTCACCCGGCTCGCTGTTCTGTCCGGATGTACCGTCACCACCGCCGCCACCACCACCACCGCCGCCACTGCCACCACCACCACCACCGACACCGCCGCCACCGACGGTGGTCATGGTGACAGGTTTCTTCACGTGACCACCGCCGGTGCCTCTGCCCCGCGTCTGCTGCAGCGTCTTCACGTCCACCACCTCCTCCTCCTCCTCGATCTCTCCGGCGATCTCTCCGGCGATCTCTCCGGCGATCTCTCCGGCGATCTCTCCGGCGATCTCTCCGGCGATCTCGTGCCGCGCCGAGATCTTCCGAGCGTCGACCCTCCACACGGCGTCGGCCCGCGGAGCGGAGCCGTCGCCCCCCCCACGCCCTCCACCTCCGCCGCTCATCGCCCCCTCGCCGCGGGCCGCCTTCCCCCTCCGCCCGGCGCGATGGCGACGGCTCTCCCTCGCGTCGCCGCCTCTCCCGGAATCCTCCTTCGCCTCGCCGCCGCCCCTGCCGTGAGACTTCCCACGCCGCTTCTCCGCCTCCTGCTGCTCCTGCTCCCGCCACGCCGTGGCCGGCGGCGACGCGCCACGGAGGAGCTGCCGCTGCTGCCCGTGGGCCTTCCCGCCGCGTCTCCGCTCGCCCGCACGGGGCTCTGAGGCTCCGCCACCACCACCATCACCACCGTCATCACCACCACCACCACCACCGTCACCGTCGTCGCCGCCGCCGCCGGTGGTGGTGGTGGTGTGCGCGCCGCTCAACACGGAGGCGATGAACTCCTCCTCGTCGGAGTCGTCGCCCGGGAGACCCAGCCGGTGCCTCCGATCGTCTACGAGGGGACAGGCGGCAGCAGCAGCAGCAGCAGCAGCTCGACACTACCGGCACCACGACTACAGAGAGGGGGTGACTCACAGGGGGTGGCTCTCTGTGCGAGTCTGTGGCTTTCTTTGTGGGGCTGTGGGTCTCTGTGTGTGTCTGTGGGTCTCTGTGTGGGTCTCTGTGTGTGTCTGTGGGTCTCTGTGCGAGTCTGTGAGTCTCTGTGTGTGTCTGTGGGTCTCTGTGCGAGTCTGTGGGTCTCTGCGTGTGTCTGTGGGTCTCTGCGTGGGTCTGTGGGTCTCTGTGTGAGTCTGTGGGTCTCTGTGTGGGTCTCTATGTGTGTCTGTGGGTCTTTATGCGAGTCTGTGAGTCTCTGTGTGAGTGTGTGGCTCTCTGTGCGAGTCTGTGGGTCTCTGTGCGAGTCTGTGGGCCTCTGTGCGAGTCTGTGGGTCTCTGTGCGAGTCTGTGGGTCTCTGTGTGAGTCTGTGGGTCTCTGTGTGAGTCTGTGGGTCTCTGTGTGAGTCTGTGGCTCTCTGTGTGAGTCTGTGGGTCTCTCTGTGTGAGTCTGTGGGTCTCTCTGTGTGAGTCTGTGGGTCTCTGTGCGAGTCTGTGGCTCTCTGTGTGAGTCTGTGTCTCTCTGTGTGGGTGTCTCTGTCTCTACGGGGGAGGAGGCTCACGATCACAGCTCCCTCTCAGGCCCCTACCCGAGACGCAGTGCCCTTGGGCTCCGAGGGTGTGCAGGGCGCGGCAGGGCCCGCAGGCACGGCTTCCAGAGGGGCATGGCTCCCGGCGGAGGAGGGCGCACGTCAGCCTGCCAGGGCACGCGTCTGCGGACAAAGGCACAGACGAAGGTCCCCCGTGTAGGCTCGCCATACTTTCTTGGTGGGGGGATGAGGGCAAGTGCTGCCCGTGGCGAGTCGCAGCGGCGCCTACGAAGGGCGGCACGGCGCACGAGGAAGGGGGCTCACCAACCACGCGTGCCCGGCTGCCTTTGTCTCCCCGCTGGCGACGTTCGCACGTCATCAGAAGATACACACTGTGTTCGGAATCAGAATCATCGTGTCTACCGCAGGCGCAATTCGATGAGCTCTCTTACTCACGGATGCCCCGGTGAGCGGGCTACGGGGTAAGAACGTTACAGCGACAGCAACAACACAGCTACACAAACGCGATAGGAGTGTAGAGTACAATACAGGTAAAAACAAAACAGCCAGACACACACAAATACAACACTCGCCCATCCCACCAGCAGGTACTCATTTGAGGCCGAGTCAACCTAGGGGAGGCCCAGGAACAGTTCAGAAAATCGTCGCCGGTGTTGGTGGTGGCCCTGAGCGGGAGTCGAACTCGGGTCGCCGGGTTCGGCGCACACACACAGCACGTGTGTGTGTGTGTGTGTGCGTATACAGGTGTGTGTGCACGTGCGTGTGTGTTCACGTGGGTGTGTGTGCACGTGCGTGTGTTCACGTGGGTGTGTGTGCACGTGCGTGTGTGTTCACGTGGATGTGTGTACACGTGCGCGCGTGTGTGTGCCACGTGTGCGCGTACACATGCGTGTGTGTGTGTACACATGCGTGCGTGTACACGCGCGTGTGAGTACACGTGTGCGAGTGTGGTGTCCCACTCTTATCAGCTGTGCGTGGCCCATGTCAACTGATAACCCTCCCGTCATTCTGCACCCCAAATATAACCCCGTGTATCGCCGGGCGTCAGCACGAGGGGGTGGTGGTGCTGGAGGTGCTGGAGGTGGTGGTGGCGGTGGTAGCGGTTGAGTGGTGGTGCCTCTGTATCATAACAATGATAGTTGTTTGTATATCGTAGAGCTTCATTCATGCGAATTGCACGTAACACACACGCCGTGCAATCATTATGCTGTATCTGTGTAGCCACAATCACACACCACCACAATCACACACCACAATCACACACCACCATAATCATACACCACCATAATCAATCACTCACCACCACAGTCACACACACAACAACCGCCATTCGCCACTAAGTGGCGGTGACGTCACCACGACGCTTGTGCCAGGCTATGTGCACCCTGAGGCCACGTGGTGTCGAACGCCCGCTGGCAGGAGGTCACGGGGCAGACCCAGGTGCCACGGGTCGACTGACTGAGATGACTGGCTGATGCACCACCTGTGCCCCCTACTGTGCCAACCTGCTGTGCTTTAGCCACCCGGAGCTCCGCTCGTTGTTCTGAGCGTCGCTCCTCCGCCCTCCGTTGTTGTTGGAGGGCGACTGCCTCCAACTGCCCAGTAGCATCCTTCATGAGCCTCCTCCACAGAGGACGATCTTGACACCGCTGGTACCAGTCATCGGCAAGTCCACTCAGCTCCACGTCCTCCTGTACCACATCACTCCATCTCTTCTCTAGCCCGTGCCGTGCCCGCTTAGCCCCCTCAATCCGGGCCGAACAAATGGTGTTTCGGCATGCGGTAGCTGGGGATGCGGGCTACATGACCCAGCCATCGCAGCCTTGCCCGCCGGAGGAGCTCACCGATGGGACCTTGCCCAGATCTTTCAAGGATTTGTGAGCTCCTCACACAATCCAGTCTGGTTAAACCCAGGATGGATCGTAGGCAGGCCAGCCTAAATGTTTCTAACCGGCGAAGATGTTCCATTAGAGGGGTCCACGTTTCGCAAGCGTAGAGAAGGGAGGGAATGACCGTGGCCGAGAAGACCTGAAGTCACACACACCACCACAATCACACACACATACACCACCACAATCACACACCACCACAATCACACCACAATTACACACACCACCACAATCACGCACCACAATCACACACCACCACAATCACACACACACCACAATCACACGCACACTCCACAATCACACACACACCACAATCACACACCACCACAATCACACACACACCACAATCACACACACCGCCACAATTACACTACAATCACACACCACCATAATCACACACCACCATAATCACACACCACCACAATCACACACACACCACAATCACACACACCACCACAATTAGACCACCACAATCACACACCACCACAATCACACACCACCACAATCACACACCACCACAATCACACACACACAATCACACACACACAATCACACACCACCACAATCACACCATCACACACACACACCACCACAATCGCACACCACCACAATCACACCACCACAATCACACACACAACACAATCACATACACACCACAATCACACACACACCACAATCACACACACCACCACAATCACACACACAACACAATCACATACACACCACAATCACACACACAACACAATCACATACACACCACAATCACACACCACCACAATTACACCACCACAATCACACACCATCATAATCACACACCACCATAATCACACACCACCACAATCACACACACACCACAATCACACACACCACCACAATTACACCACCACAATCACACCACCACAATCACACACACAACACAATCACACACACCACCACAATCACACACACCACCACAATCACACACACCACACTCACACCACTTCTTACCTGACCCCTGTGCCACCGCTCCCTGCACACGTGACTACCGCACACACTCGCTCAGCCATCCACTCCGACACGGGCACAATAATTAAACTGGACCATTCACTCACTCACACCGTCAACAACCTATCCCATCGCCGATAGACCCACTCACGCATCCACTCACTCACGCATCCACTCACTCACTCACGCATTCACTCACTCACGCATTCACTTACTCACGCATCCACTCACTCACGCATTCACTCACTCACGCATCCACTCACTCACTCACGCATTCACTCACTCATGCATTCACTCACTCACGCATTCACTCACTCACTCACGCATTCACTCACTCACTCACGCATTCACTCACTCACGCACGCATTCACCCACTCACCCATTCAATCACCCACCCACTCATTCACCTACCTACTCGTTCAACAACACACCCACCCACCTATTCACTCATACATTTACCTACTATTTCACCCACCCACTCATTCATCAACCCACTCGTTCAACAATACACGCAAGTCACTCACTCACGTACAGATACACTCATCCATGAATTCACTCAACCACCCACCCAACGAGTCACTCACTGCTCATAATCACTCACCCACCCACTCACCCACATACCCAAGTCAGAAGGCAAAGATCCCCCGTGTAGCCTGTAACAGACTGCTGGGGCAAGTGCTGTTAGCGAGTAGCAGCAGCACCTATGAAGGCCGGGATCTGTGGCACACGAGGGGGTGGGTGGCCAGCACCACGTCCGGCCGCCTTTGTCTCCCCAGTGGCGATGCATATTATTTTAAATAAAATAACACCGTCAATTGCGTAGCGCGAATTGTTTCAAGTTGCTTGTGAGCGTGGTGGTGTAGTAGCGGTCAGCGCTGTGAACCCGGCTGTGACCCGAGTTCGATTCCCGCTCACGGCCACCACCAACATCGCCAGTGACGATTATCTGAACCGGTCCTGGTGCCTGCCCTAGATCGACTCGGCCTCAAATGAGTACCTGGTGCGGTGTGTAGTAAACATCGCCACTGGGGAGACAAAGGCGGCCGGGCGTGGTGCTGGCCGGCCACCACCTCGTGTGCCACAGTGCCGGCAGCCTTCACAGGTGCTGCTCGCTAACAGCACTTGCCCCAACAGTCTGTTAAGGCTACACGGGGGATCTTTGTCTGTATGCTTATCAAACGTAGTGAATTGGCGCCAACAATGTCCTGAACCAAAACCCGTCAACCCCTTATCAGTACCCTACCTCACTACATACCAAGTCAGACCTGCCCTTATGAATCTCAACGTTCATCCTACAAAGTCCCATCACAAGGGACAAACACAAACAGACTCAATAATATTATTATTTTTGATGTTGTCCGTATTGAAACGGCTCTACGCCGTATGGGTTGACAGCTGTGCTTCAACATTGGAGTCTATGGGAGACTTTAACATTGGAGTCTATGGGTAGACACTTTAACATTGGAGTCTATGGGGGGAGACTTTAACATTGTAGTCTATGGGTAGAGACTTTAACATTGGAGTCTATGGGGGGAGACTTTAACAATGGAGTCTATGGGAGACTTTAACATTGGAGTCTATGGGGGGAGACTTTAACATTGGAGTCTATGGGTAGACACTTTAACATTGTAGTCTATGGGAGACTTTAACATTGGAGTTATGGTGGGAGACTTAAACATTGTAGTCTATGGGTATAGACTTTAACATTGGAGTCTATGGGAGACTTTAACATTGGAGTATATGGGTAGAGACTTTAACATTGGAGTCTATGGGTAGAGACTTTAACATTGGAGTCTGTGGGAGACTTTAACATTGGAGTCTGTGGGAGACTTTAACATTGGAGTCTATGGGTAGACACTTTAACATTGGAGTCTATGGGAGACTTTAACATTGGAGTCCATGAGAGACTTTAACATTGGAGTCTATGGGTGACTTTTACATTGGAGTCTATCGGTGGACACTTTAACATTGGAGTCTATGGGTAGACACTTTAACATTGGAGTCTATGGGACACTTTTACATTGGAGTCTATGGGAGACTTTGACATTGGAGTCTATGTGATACTTTTACATTGTAGTCTATGGGAGACTTTAACATTGGAGTCTATGGGGGGAGACTTTAACATTGGAGTCTATGGGAGTTTTAACATTGGAGTCTATGGGGAGAGCCTTTAACATTGGAGTCTATGGGGGGAGACTTTAACATTGTAGTCTATGGGTAGACACTTTAACATTGGAGTCTATGGGGGGAGACTTTAACATTGGAGTCTATGGGGGGAGACTTTAACATTGGAGTCTATGGGAGACTTTAACATTGGAGTCTCTGAGAGACTTTAACATTGGAGTCTATGGGTAGAGACTTTTACATTGTAGTCAATGAGAGACTTTAACATTGGAGTCTATGGGTAGACACTTTAACATTGGAGTCTATGGGAGACTTTAACACTGGAGTCTATGGGAGACTTTAACATTGGAGTCTATGGGGAGAGACTTTAACATTGTAGTCTATGGGTATAGACTTTAACATTGTAGTCTATGGGAGACTTTAACATTGGAGTCTATGGGGGGAGACTTTAACATTGGAGTGTATGGGGGGAGACTTTAACATTGTAGTCTATGGGAGACTTTAACATTGGAGTCTATGGGAGACTCTAACATTGGAGTCTATGGGGGGAGACTTTAACATAGTCTATGGGAGACTTTAACATTGTAGTCTATGGGTAGAGACTTTAACATTGTAGTCTATGGGAGACTTTAACATTGGAGTCTATGGGGGGGGGAGACTTTAACATTGGAGTCTATGGGTAGAGACTTTAACATTGTAGTCTATGGGTAGACACTTTAACATTGCAGTCTATGGGTAGACACTTTAACATGTAGTCTATGGGAGACTTTAACATTGGAGTCTATGGGTAGAGACTTTAACATTGTAGTCTATGGGTAGAGACTTTAACATTGTAGTCTATGGGTAGACACTTTAACATTGTAGTCTATGGGTAGAGACTTTAACATTGTAGTCTATGGGTAGACACTTTAACATTGTAGTCTATGGGTAGATAATTTAACATTGTAGTCTATGGGTAGACACTTTAACATTGTAGTCTATGGGTAGACACTTTAACATTGGAGTCTATGGGTAGACACTTTAACATTGTAGTCTATGGGTAGACACTTTAACATTGCAGTCTATGGGTGGACACTTTAACATTGGAGTCTATGGGTAGACACTTTAACATTGTAGTCTATGGGTAGACACTTTAACATTGGAGTCTATGGGTATACACTTAAACATTGTAGTCTATGGGTAGACACTTTAACATTGCAGTCTATGGGTAGACACTTTAACATTGTAGTCTATGGGTGGACACTTTAACATTGGAGTCTATGGGTATACACTTTAACATTGTAGTCTATGGGTAGACACTTTAACATTGGAGTCTATGGGTGGACACTTTAACATTGGAGTCTATGGGTGGACACTTTAACATTGGAGTCTGTGGGTTAAGCCGCGTGGTTTTGACGCGGTGTGCTGGAACATTCTGGCACTCACCTGTGAGGGTGTACATCAAGTAGGACAAGTGAACCAAACACCACAGATACACCCGCGATTTTCTTGACATCACCACCATCATCATCACCATCATCATCACCACCGCAAACTCAGGTTAACGTTCAGATGTCGCCATCGCTTCCTTCCTCGTGCCAGATGCGATGTTTGACGGGGTTGTCGCTTGCGGCCACGATGAATGCGTCACCCGATTTCTGAGGCGATTTTCACGAAAGGTCGTTCAGGATTCCTTTTTCAATTCGAAACGCCGTTCAATTCAAAAATGCGTTCCGATGCCTCTTCAGGCAAATTTATCGGGCAATATTACGACTCACGTTCATCACGTTAGCGTCCGTAAACGTCATTCGTGAATGTTGCATCGCTGCATCGCATCACGCCGATATTTAAAATCGCAAATTAAATAGCGTTTGCATTTGCGTCGAGCGCCTGCCAAGATTAATATTAATACAGGCACGATTTATAGTTAACGTTAAAAAAAAAATTCGTGTTGTTGTAAATGTACAGCCGGGTAATGGACGAACGCTACAAAATTATTACCGTTAAATAGTAACGATCCTCAATTTTATACAATAATGTAAATTACAATAATGTAAATTACAATCCGAATTTTAGACCCGCACAATATCAGGCTGTTATTGTAATAACTAGCCCACCACCCCTCCTCCGCTCTAATGATTCTAACAGTTAGAATTCTAACTATTATCACAGTGAACAGATTTTATGTTTTTTTTAACAAACGATGATAAAATAAAATAAAACATTGGAGTGGTCGTGACCACCGCTGAGAATCTAACAGAAAAATTTGTGTCCGCTGTCCTTCGTGTGTCTACCGCCACCGGAAGATATCTACCGGCCGTTTTATATATCTCTACCTCCACCGGAAGACATCTAAATCCCAGTTCCATATCCCTCCTGCCACCGGAAGATATCCACCGCACCTGTTTCATATCTCTACCGCCACCGGAAGATATCTACCGGCCGTTTTATATATCTCTACCGCCACCGGAAGAGGTCTACATCTCAGTTCTCTATCTCTCCTGCCACCGGAAGATATCCACCGCACCAGTTTTATATCTCTACCTCCACCGGAAGATGTCTACCGGCTGTTTTATATTTCTCGACCTCCACCGGAAGAAGTCTAAATTCCAGTTCTATATCTCTCCTGCCACCGGAAGGTATCCACCGCCTGTTTTATATCTTTACCGCCACCGGAAGATTTCTACCGAGCGTTTTACATTGATCTCTACTTCCACCGGAAGAGGTCTAAATCACATTTCTTCGTCTCTTCCTCCACCGGAAGTTATCCTCCGCCTGTTTTATATCCCCACCGCCACCGGAAGATATCCTGTCCCATACGTCTACCTTTACCGGAAGACGTCTACCGTCCGTTTTATATCCCCACCGCCACCAAAAAGCGTCTAAATGCAGTCTGATAGCTCTACCGGAAGATGTCTGCCGCTCTGGTTGTGTATCTCTACCACCACTGGAAGATATCTAAATCCAGTTCAACGTCCCTTCTGCCACCGGAAGATGTCTACCGCCCTGTTTTATATCTCCACACGCCACCATGGAGACGTGTAAATCCACTCTACCGGAAGAGTCTACCGGCCGTTTTATATCTCCACCGGAAGATGTCTAATTCCAATCTCACAGCTCTACCTCTACCGGAAGAACTCTACTGGCCCCGTTTTAGATCTCTTCTTCTACCGGAAGATGGGAGACCTTGATCCGTGGCTGATGGTGTTGAATGAGTGGCAGAGACTCCGTGCCCCTTACAAATCTCGACGTTCATCCTACAAAGTCCCATCACAAGGGAGACTCTCTCGCTAACAGACGTCATCAGTATTCGTGTTTGCCCGTATTGAAGTGAAAACTCAATAACCTTGTACAGGAATAGGGGCTAAGCGCTGTGTGGGTTGACACGTTATGAATGGCTCTATGTGATGTGTTAAATGACAATGTATAATAGTAACAATAACAGACTGCGCGTGTAGGATGCGTAATGACGTCACGCGCATCTCCTACAGCGTTGAGGGCGGGCTCGTGCGACGCGCTGACGTCACCACGCCTGCCCCCAACCGCCCCCCCCCCCCAAAGGGGAGAGGAGGGGGTGAGAGGGGGGGAGGGAGGGAGAGGAGGGGGTGAGAGAGGGTGACAGAGGAACACCACAACAACAACAACGAACACAACACAACGAACACAACAACAACACCACAACAACAACAACAACGAACACCACAACAACAACAACAACGAACACCACAACAACAACAACGAACACCACAACAACAACAACGAACACCACAACAACAACGAACACAACACAACGAACACAACAACAACGAACACAACAACAAACACCACAACAACAACAACGAACACAACACAACGAACACAACAACAACAACGAACACAACAACAACAACGAACACAACAACAACAACAACGAACACAACAACAACGAACACAACAACAACGAACACAACAACAACAACACCGAACACAACAACAACGAACACAACAACAACAACAACAACGAACACAACACAACAACAACGAACACAACAACAACAACGAACACAACAACAACAACGAACACAACAACAACAACGAACACAACAACAACAACAACGAACACAACAACAACAACGAACACAACAACAACAACGAACACAACAACAACAACGAACACAACAACAACAACGAACACAACAACAACAACGAACACAACAACAACAACGAACACAACAACAACGAACACAACAACAACAACGAACACAACAACAACAACGAACACAACAACAACGAACACAACAACAACAACGAACACAACAACGAACACAACAACAACAACGAACACAACAACAACAACAACAACGAACACCACAACAACAACAACAACGAACACAACAACAAATACAAAGTTTACATCGTGATTTATATACAAAGTTTACATCTTGATTTATATATAAAGTTTACATCTTGATTTATATACAAAGTTACATCTTGATTTATATACAAAGTTACATCTTGATTTATATACAAAGTTTACATCTTGATTTATATACAAAGTTTACATCTTGATTTATATACAAAGTTACATCTTGATTTATATATACAAAGTTTACATCTTGATTAATATACAAAGTTTATATCTTGATTTATATATAAAGTTTACATCTTGATTTATATATAAAGTTTACATCTTGATTTATATACAAAGTTACATCTTGATTTATATATAAAGTTTATATCTTGATTTATATACAAAGTTTACATCTTGATTTATATATAAAGTTTACATCTTGATTTATATATAAAGTTTACATCTTGATTTATATACAAAGTTACATCTTGATTTATATACAAAGTTTACATCTTGATTTATATACAAAGTTTACATCTTGATTTATATACAAAGTTTACATCTTGATTTATATACAAAGTTACATCTTGATTTATATACAAAGTTTACATCTTGATTTATATACAAAGTTTACATCTTGATTTATATACAAAGTTACATCTTGATTTATATACAAAGTTTACATCTTGATTTATATACAAAGTTTATATCTTGATTTATATATAAAGTTTACATCTTGATTTATATATAAAGTTTACATCTTGATTTATATATAAAGTTTACATCTTGATTTATATATAAAGTTTACATCTTGATTTATATACAAAGTATACATCTTGATTTATATATAAAGTTTACATCTTGATTTATATACAAAGTTTACATCTTGATTTATATACAAAGTTTACATCTTGATTTATATATATAAAGTTTACATCTTGATTTATATATAAAGTTTACATGTTGATTTATATACAAAGTATACATCTTGATTTATATACAAAGTTTACATCTTGATTTATATATAAAGTTTACATCTTGATTTATATAAAGTTTACATGTTGATTTATATACAAAGTTTACATGTTGATTTATATATAAAGTTTACATCTTGATTTATATATAAAGTTTACATCTTGATTTATATACAAAGTATACATCTTGATTTATATACAAAGTTGACATCTTGATTTATATATAAAGTTTACATCTTGATTTATATATAAAGTTTACATCTTGATTTATATATAAAGTTTACATCTTGATTTATATACAAAGTTTACATCTTGATTTATATACAAAGTTTACATCTTGATTTATATACAAAGTTTACATCTTGATACAAAGTTTACATCTTGATTTATATACAAAGTTTACATCTTGATTTATATACAAAGTTTACACCTTGATTTATATATAAAGTTTACATCTTGATTTATATACAAAGTTTACATCTTGATACAAAGTTTACATCTTGATTTATATACAAAGTTTACATCTTGATTTATATACAAAGTTTACATCTTGATACAAAGTTTACATCTTGATTTATATACAAAGTTTATATCTTGATTTATATATAAAGTTTACATCTTGATTTATATATAAAGTTTACATCTAGATTTATATACAAAGTTTACATCTTGATTTATATACAAAGTTTACATCTTGATACAAAGTTTACATCTTGATTTATATATAAAGTTTCCATCTCGATTTATATATAAAGTTTCCATCTTGATTTATATACAAAGTTTCCATCTTGATGTATATATAAAGTTACATCTTGATACAAAGTTTACATCTTGATTTATATACAAAGTTTACATCTTGATTTATATACAAAGTTTACATCTTGATTTATATACAAAGTTTACATCTTGATTTATATATAAAGTTTACATCTTGATTTATATACAAAGTTTACATCTTGATTTATATATAAAGTTTACATCTAGATTTATATACAAAGTTTACACCTTGATTTATATAAAGTTTACATCTTGATTTATATACAAAGTTTACATCTTGATTTATATATAAAGTTTACATCTTGATTTATATATAAAGTTTACATCTTGATTTATATACAAAGTTTACATCTTGATTTATATATAAAGTTTATATCTTGATTTATATATAAAGTTTACATCTTGATACAAAGTTTACATCTTGATTTATATATAAAGTTTACATCTTGATTTATATATAAAGTTTACATCTTGATACAAAGTTTACATCTTGATTTATATATAAAGTTTACATCTTGATTTATATATAAAGTTTACATCTTGATACAAAGTTTACATCTTGATTTATATACAAAGTTTACATCTTGATTTATATATAAAGTTTACATCTTGATTTATATATAAAGTTTACATCTTGATTTATATATAAAGTTTACATCTTGATTTATATACAAAGTTTATATCTTGATTTATATACAAAGTTTACATCTTGATTTATATACAAAGTTTACATCTTGATTCATATACAAAGTTTATATCTTGATTTATATATAAAGTTTACATCTAGATTTATATACAAAGTTTACATCTTGATTTATATATAAAGTTTACATCTTGATTTATATACAAAGTTTACATCTTGATACAAAGTTTACATTTTGATTTATATATAAAGTTTACATCTTGATTTATATACAAAGTTTACATCTTGATTTATATATAAAGTTTACATCTTGATTCATATATAAAGTTTACATCTTGATTTATATATAAAGTTTACATCTTGATTTATATACAAAGTATACATCTTGATTTATATACAAAGTTGACATCTTGATTTATATATAAAGTTTACATCTTGATTTATATATAAAGTTTACATCTTTATTTATATATAAAGTTTACATCTTGATTTATATACAAAGTTTACATCTTGATTTATATACAAAGTTTACATCTTGATTTATATACAAAGTTTACACCTTGATTTATATATAAAGTTTACATCTTGATTTATATACAAAGTTTACATCTTGATACAAAGTTTACA